TACTAAAGCAAGCTAAAAGTAACAGCTGATAACTGACAGAAGAAAGAATGCAATTACAGAGTCACAAGCCGTTGAAAAAATTTATCAACGCCGACTATATGAAAAATCCGCAATTACTTTTTGGGCAACCCAATATATTTTTTGTGATATTAAAAAGTGACTGCACCTCATTTCATACTTCATTTCAATTAAAAAGTTTCAAAATTTGTCTTCCTCAGATCGCCTTTTATATTAAATATTAAATTTATTTCTTATTACATTTCTACTGGAAAACATAAAATACAAAATCACTTAAAAATAGTTTACTTTAAATAATTCAGGTAATATATGTACATATGTATGCATGTATGTATATGTATTAGTAGCATTTTGAAAAATTTTAAAAATAGAATAAGGAAACCTTTAGCATGTTTCACGGAAGAGACGAAAATGTGTAAAAATATTATCAAGTATCGGGTTAGTTCAATTAGATACTCGTTACAACGATGAAGCGACATTGCGCTAATTCTGACAGTAGGTAAAACTTTACAAAAAATTTCTTATAACAAATTCTTGTCAGACATGAGAATATGTAGCAGAGGACTCAAAGCTTTTATACCAAGGACAACTATTTACACGTATGGAATAGTATGAGAAGTACCACTATTCTTTGAGGATCACGACATTTGAAAAACGCTAAAAGTAGAGAAAGAAAAGATGTGTATATTTCGCAGGAAATTAAATTCCCAAGAAAATTATTTAAGTGTATATACGAGACTTAGGTCCAAATTGTATCGGTCATAAAATTAACAAGTTGCAGCTTTGACCTCATAAAGCACTGACACATTCTACTACATTTCTACAACACTAGCATATCTTAATACGTGGTACTGCTAGTACTTCCACCGCAGTTGTATATATGTGCACATATATTTTAATTCATGGTTTTTATAAAATTGGAAGCTCGTTAACTTTTGAATTTTAAAATAATATTTTGCTATTGCTAAACAGTGTGAAAATATAAAGCTTATACAATTTAAATGCAACAAAACGTGTTTCCAATTAAAAGATTGAAGTTATCCTATAGATATTGATTAATAAATGATTACCAATGTTTTTTTTTATTTTATTTTATTTAATAATAATAACAGGTTAAAACTTTTTTCGAAAACGAAAATTTCGAAAATATGAGAAGCTTTCTTATCGTATGAAAGGTACATATGTATTTGTAAGTAAGTGCATTCCATTTCATTTTGTGGGTTACACATTCCGATTATTGATTAGCATATCGGTTACATTTTCGAAACAAAATTTGTGTCGATTTTAGATGTTACAAAAACCGATTTATCGGTTTAAGAGTCAGAATTAAACCGAGCAGTTATTCGTTGAAAAAAATGTGTGCAAACCTCTTTGTGAGCCGAAATTTATAGCCATCGATACTGTATGTCGCGCTAAGTAGATATTTGAGCCCCACAGACCGTTAATAGGAAACAGAAATCGCAGTCGTTTTTATGTACATGTTTTTTGTACAAAAATTAAATTGAATTGCTGGGGTTTTCGCACAAGTGTGATGACAGTTGAATCGAATGCGGTTTTGCTTATCGTCGAATGAAGCAAAATCAATTCGGTAACATAACAACAATACAAACAGACATCGATTTTCAATTCCGATAAATAAGCAATTCTGTGCCGCTTTCTATAAGAACCCTGACTATCTAAAATAAGTTTTCTTTTAATGCAAAATTGATGTTTATTTTAATGTGAAAACTTGTGATGCCACTTTGAGTTCAACTCAAAACAATTAATTATTAAAAGCAAAAAATTCATTCTTTTACAAATATATATATATATATATTACTAGTATTTCGATTAACCAAATATAATACTCTAAAATTAAGGAATATCGGGCAGATATTTATACATTTTTGTACATAAACGAAAATTGGTTAACATAAAGTACAGTAAAAGAAAAAGAAAGATATTTAAACATAGATATGCACTCATGTATGGAATTAACATTTTTCCAAAAGCTTAACATACAACAAAAACAAAATAACACAAACTAAAACTCAATTCCAATTTATAAATTTGTGTATTGTCAAATATTTCATTCATGAAATAAATGCATACTTTCTACTGACAGGGCACATACTTAGATTTTTTTAACTTAAAACTATATAAGCTAAAACAACACTAACTTAACTATTTTCGCTGAAACTTCTCTGTAATGGAAAGAACATATTGTTAGTAAATATGTAATTTGAGTTTTTTATCATAGCAAAGTACTCACCACTATACCACAACAGTTGGCGGCACATTTTGTTGTAATGCTTGGCTTGTTGGGGTTCTTTATATATTTTCAGCGCCACCGCTTGATTAACATTTTGAATTATTTGCTCCATTAGATCCTTCTCAAGCGTAATTGAAAGCCGATATTCACCGCTTGGCGTAAGCTGCAAGTCTAAATCGCGTGAAATGCTAATACCACTATCGCTGTTATCAGAATCACTACTAGTATCCTCATCTTTGATGGATATTTTCGCAGGTTTTCTGGTTACATTTTCCACTTTCGCTATTTTCTGCTTTCTGCTTTCTATATCTGTGTCAATCCAAATATTTTGAATTAATTTAATTTGTCAAAAACAAATTATATGTATATAAATGTAAGCCTCACCACCATTCGCTTTCCGCTTGGATGGACGTGCACAATTGCGTTCATCAGCTTCGTAGTCTCGCTTGGGGCAACTGCAAATTTTCACATCCATGACACGTTGGGATAGTATTTCACCACTAAACGTAAATAGAAATTAATATCAATATACTCGTATACACATACAAGATTATTTTCTTTGTTTCATTGGTGCATTTCACAAGATTATGCATGATGCATGTACTGACATGATCGACATACAATTGATAAGTCAGTCAAAAAACTTCTTTGTCTTTATTTAAGTTGGTTTGTCAACATATACACACTTACATATACATATATACACATATATGCACAAACACATGCACATGACACTCACCTCATGCCTTCTAGTAAAAATATTAAACTTGTCTCCCTGCGCCCAATACAGGAATTCTGGCACGTGAACTTGATGGCGATCGTTTGTGAAATGGGACAGTCATTCCTTGGCATAACGCTCAAGCCCAACGGAAATATAATTGAATAACGATCATTAATATTTTTACCCTCAGATGTGCCACAATACTCAGCGGTAGGATTCTCACAGCGTAATAAGCTCTCTCGTCTGGTCTGGTTTGATTCTATATGGTAGGGGTGACAAGGAAGTGAACAGATATGTACATATGTCATGGTTAAATTTTAGAGCTTACCAGTATCCTTGCTTAAATGATTTTGACAACGCAACACCGGCTCGCTAACTTCATTCTTAAAGCTCAGCAGCACTCGCACGCGTAGCTGCTGCAAAGGCAATTTGGGTGCATAAACCGCTTCCAAGGTAAATATTTCGTGCATGCGTATATATAGTTTTTTACGATTGGAAGAATACATCCAAGTCTTTTTTGTTTTACGGTTGGTGCCAACTTGAATATCAAACTTATAGCCACCGTTGTCATGCTCCTCAAATGTTGGTAAAATATCCAAATTCTGTGACAACAAAAGAAAATAGTATCAATAGCTGAGCTTTATTTAAAATAATCTATATAAAACTTACAGATTTCACATCCAATTGCTCCTTAAGTAGTAACTCCTGTATGGCTGATTGCTAGAATGAAATAAATATATATTTTTTTAATTATTTATAACACAAATTATTTTCATGTTATTTACGAAAACATTTTCAAATAAATAATTACATATCGGTGATATAAATGATGGAGCTTCATTTTCTTAGTCTTCTTTGGTCTGACGATATTAAGCGACTAACTGGCATACTGACTCAAGCAACCGTCCAACAACTCTCTAAGACAAAACAATCTGACTAAGCAGTTTCGGTTTTCATTCATAATTCCGCGTTGTTTATAAACAATTTTGTTTATATGCTACCCTTTGTTATTGGTGGGCATATATATGTACATACATATGTATGTAGATGTCTGTATATGCAGGTTTTACTACGAGTTTTGTATATTTGGCTTTGGGTTTGTTGTTGTTTCAGTATATGAGTAAGAGCGTCACTTCAATCAATGCGTCACTGATTCGCTTAACAGAATAAAAATGATAAAAGCGTAATAGCTTATGAATATACTCGTATCTTCTGGTGAAATACATACACAAAATTACCCAGCAGGGAATCGAACAACCAAAACTATTTCACACTCATTATGGCCAACTTAAAGCGTTTATAAATGAATGAATTTAAAATGAAATGTAAGTGAGATATTTTTATTTTATACTTATTTTTACTTTTTATTTTTTTTAAATATTTTTTATTTTATTATTTTTTTATTTTATTATTTTTTTATTTTTCTTATTATTATTTTTTTATTATTTTATTATTTTATTATTTTTTTTATTTTTTTCATTTTATTTTTTTTATTTTCTATTTTTTTATTTTTTTTATTTTTTTTTNATTTTTATTATTTTTATTTTTTATTATTTTTATTTTTTATTATTTTTATTTTTTATTATTTTTATTTTTTATTATTTTTATTTTTTATTATTTTTATTTTTTATTATTTTTATTTTTTATTATTTTTATTTTTTATTATTTTTATTTTTTATTATTTTTATTTTTTATTATTTTTATTTTTTATTATTTTTTTTATATTTTGTATTATTTTACTTTTTATTATTTTTATTTTGTATTATTTTATTTTTTATTATTTTTATTTTTTATTATTTTTATTTTGTATTATCTTTATTTTTAATTATTTTTATTTTTATTCTTTTTTTTTGTGACAAATTTTGTGATAAAAAAATTATTGCAATATCTCAGAATTTTAAGCAAATATTTTGGTGTGAACAATATGTTTTACACGAACATTTCCTACTAGGTGTTGTGTGCTTCATGAAATGTGACAAAGATAAGAAAATGGTTATATGAATAAATAACTACGATTAACGATTAAAAGAGACCTTATCGGTAGTGGTTGTGAAAATATGGAAAAAAAGATCCCGGAAAATATATAAATAAAGGGCATTTTACTGAGTTTGCGATAAACAAAAACATTATGAGCAGGTGTATAGCTACTGTTAATGGCAGTTCGTGTTTCGTTTTCACATTGTTTTTTTTGTTTGCTAAAATATATAATGAAATGCATACATAACAAGGTTTATAGTATAGAAGGTTACGTTAAGAACCAAAACAAATTTTAATGACGAAGTTGGTACTAGTTTGTGGGTTGCCGAAAATTTTAAAATAAATTTGCATAATTTTACCTATGACTCTAAAGCGTTAGATGCTAATTTTATTTAATTAATATATTAATTGCAATAAATCCGTTCTGAATAGTTTTATGTTGAACAGATGTAGAATAATTTAATTTTCAAATATTTTCATGTTATGTAAATTAATATTATTTTTTAACACAAATTTCTATATCTAAGCTAGCAACTCTGACTTTTGTTTTTGTATAAATTTTTTTTTTTCATATTGACATGCAAAAGCATTTATTAAAGAAATTCAAAAATTATTCTGTTTTTTTACATAAATATCAAGGCCCGTCCACTGCATATATGACGTAGTTGGTTCAGTGGCGTCAACGGTTGTCGTAACGTTGTATACCTACATATATGAGAAATGGCTAAAAACAAAGCTCGCATTGCAAACACACATATATATATACATACATACATACACACACACATATGGTAAGAAGGTATTTAATCAGATACCAACGCACAATTAAAATGCAATTAACAGTCATATTTTTAATAACATATTTTATGTATATATGATTAAACTAAACTGAGTATTGAACAAGTTCTCTTTGCGTTAACATTAAACAAAATCGCTAAAAAAAAAAAACAGATGTTGAGCTAAATTTCTAAGCCAGCAACTGTTTTATACTATACTAGTTATTTCAAGTTACTTTCGTTATAGTAATAATGACTGATTTAAAATGGGTTAAGATATGTGTAGGATCCGTAATTGTTTATCTCATGCTATTTGGATTCTTGGCACATAGCGTCTCTCTACGTAAAGGACGATTTAAGGATTCTCATTTAATGCGTTTATATTCATTTGCCATAGCGACTACTTTTACAATGTCGTATGGTCGGAATATGCTTATTGATTTATTAAAAAATCGTTTTAATTTGGAAAATGTTATACAGTTATACAGTTATATGAATATTGTAGCTGTCATAGTAAACTATTTAACAGCCCTCATATTATCACGTACATTTGTACGATTTTTCAATCGTGTTGCGCTCTATGAAACAATCAAATTTTTCGATGTGAATGCGAAAACACTTATTGTATCAGTTCGATTAGTGCTACTTAAAGGTTTACTAATTCCAGTAATTTATGAAGTGACATTGATACTACAGCAAATACGTAATGCGCCGGATAAGCATTTACTTTGGACATTTCATACACTCTTGCCAATGATACTTTCGCAAATGTTTCCCAATCTTTTCTTTAGCGCGCTGGTTATTTGTAAAACTCTAATGGTGTCTTTAAATGAGCGTTTAATGGAGATTGTCAATGAAGTCAATTGTTTACAGAATATATTGCAAATGAGTTTACAAAAACCGTACTATCGTATGCAACGCTTCTGTGAACTGGCTGATCGTTTGGACTTGCTTGCGCAAAAATACGATATCATATGCAAGCAAACAACAGTGTATTTGCACTTGCTTTCGGCTCCTCTAATATGTTCTTTGCTTTGTAATTTATGCGGTATCACGGCGGGATGTTTCACACAATACTTGGCAATTGCAGAAACTTTGGTAAACAATGAACCATATGACGCGTTCAATGCATTGACTAATGCAGTCTTCCTTGTGATATCTATAGTCGAAGTGCTCTTACAGGGACACATTTGTGATGATAACAGATTAAAGGTAAATGTATTAATGTACAATAAGATTTTAAATCAATTTTCTGTATATAACGTTCAATTGCAGGTTCAGGAGACTGGCTTGATACTACAGCGCATGAATCTTACACACGCTGATTTACGATTTAAGGAATCCGTTGAAGCGTTTTCCTTGCTGGTTTTAGTGACTGAATATAAAATTCAACCTCTAGGACTATTGGAAATAAATATTTCGCTTGTTCAGGATGTAAGTTCAAAAATTCGAAAGCCAATTTAATAACGGCAATATTTTACTTTATAGGTCTTGTCAGCAGTTACTAGTTTCTTACTTATATTCGTTCAAAGTGATCTCACATTACGATTCTCACTGAAGTAGGTGAAATTTTCGAGCATATTGTTTACATACCTGACTAAATGCCATAAGATTATCGGACTGTAATGAAATAAATTTAAAAAAATAAATTTTACAAGTTCACAATGATTTGCAATAAATATTACTTACATTTAATCCCTGTAGATATGAATATGGTTCATCACTTGGTCTGAAAAAGTAGTAAGATTCAATCAAGTTCAAGGTCAATACAGTGAATTTACAGAAACAAATTTACTCACATCACATCTTCCTCTTTATTCAAATCTTCCGGTGGATTAGAGGCGTCTGAAACCGGAATTATATCTTCCATGACTGTATCTTTGTTAGTTTGATTAGAGCTGCATGAATATTCACTGCAAAAGGATTGACATTTAAATAGTTTGCATGATACATAGGAAAAATTAACTTTTCTTTTCTATAATCAGTTTTATTTATCCACCTGCCACATAAATTGCAAGTCCGTGGTGTACAAACACTATCGACACCGTATATAACAGATTGTGAAGCAGCTGTGGAACATTTGGAATTGCCTTCAGATAATATACACAAATACTAACAAATTTACTTGCAAAACTTGTTCAAATTTACCTGATTACATGCCACGACATTATTAATGTACAAAGAAACGTATAAATCGCCTTATGTACATATAACTAATATCACCACGATTTTGTAAAAATATCTGAGGTTTATGTGTATATAGTAAATAAAAAGAGGACAATTAAAGAAAATTCATGTAAAATCCAAACTGCGCAATAACAGAGCTGCCAACATTTTTTTAAGAATTAGGATGCAGGAAGGCGACAATTGCATATAAAGAAAAGCAAGGCGAATTTATAGAAAGTGAAGTTGTCACTTCATATCATGGCCAAAACTTACAATTATTAAAGCAAATTCATGTAGAAATAAAAATGTAATTGGTCAAACAATCTAATAAAATCAAGAACTTTTGTGGAGTGGAAAATATATGAAGCTGATAAATGCTTAATTGAAAATTGTTGCTTCCAAAAAATCATCTGTCAACAAGCATTGAAAACCAGTAATTTGCTTAGAAAATATATTATTTTTTAAGTCAAATACGGCATTAAATCGCAAAACCTTTTATTTGCCTAAAAATCGGTAGTGGGCCTTTTTAAGCAAGTATATAATTGTAAGACAGGGAGCATGATATAAATTACTAAGAGACGATATAAAATTTCGCTTAGGTGAATTCGCCAGGAAATTGCAGTGAAAAGGATCATGTGGCAACGTTATTCGAAGATGAAGTCCACATAACTTAGCTGTCAAAAAAGCAAGTGTTAACGAATTTTAATTTCACAGATCAGTAAAATGGTTTAACTCATATATTGTAACTATTGCCAACGCTCGATAGAAAATTGCTTAAACTATAATTATAGATTAAAATGCCTCCCAGTTCGAACCCGATAAAGTCAAAGTAACTAAAACTAATAGATGTTTTTAAGCATTTCTTAAGAATTATTACTTACCTAGCAAGAACACTATTGGGATAATTTTCCGGAGTCAAAGGTAAAGGTTTAACTTTTTCTAACCGGATCAATTGTTCATAACCCGAATTCGCATCGGAGGCGAAAATGTCCAATTGATTTAACACACTATTGTATTTCATTTCTTCTTCGGGTCGATTCAGAAACCGTTGCAACACTTCCGACTGCGGATGATGGCCTAAATTTACATAGGTATCTTCTGATCCGTTGTTACTAAAAAAAAAGTGTGAAAACTAAAAATGAACAAACGTAATTGTGATATGATAAGCGTTATTCACGTACCTTATAGTTGTGTTTTTGACTGTTATAACTGAGGGTTTTATCCGGCTTATAGCGCTATTTTCAAAATGATCTCGAATCATATTGGAAGTTTATTACTTGAGTTGGGATATGTTGCAAGACCTGCTTTAACAAATCCTTTCCCAGCTTTATCTGCTGATGTGGATTGTGATGAAATTCGCAGACACTCTCCTGGTAATGTTTTTAATGCGCTGTAGTAGTTTAGGTAATTCTTGGAAGTATTATATGCCTCGATGGTTCTTACCATTCACGTTTATCTTCAAAAATGTATTTGATAAATTTATTTTCATAAATTCTTCACAAATCTTGTGCAACTTTCAATCTTATTTCTAGTGATCCCTTAAACGAATTAAACTCTTTAACATCAAAAAATGTACAAAACACAACAACTTGTTTTCTTTATATTCACAATACAATGAAATTTGCGAATTTTATTTATTTAAACGAATAAATTAAGGCACAAATAGACCAAAAGTCACAAAAATAGCCGACAATTTCACACTCAGTGTGGAAAGTAAACAAAAGTCTTTGCGTAGTGATGCCAGTTATTGCATATTTACATAATGTTCCGTTCCACTTTGTGAAGCCAAATTTGCTATTGTAACGATTCCCAAATCGTCCACATTTTTTGTACTATTTCTTAACTGTAATGAATTCAATCAACGCCTATTTATTACTCAATAAATCATAATATGCTTTATTATACACAACGACTTATATTACAACTTTTACACTCAACTATTTTCACTTAACACCGATGCTGTCACCAACGAGTTTACTTTGTGCTTGAGTTGTCGGCATCTGTCATTCGTTTTTGGCATATTCGCCGCACCATACAATTATATTTGCCGGTTAATTTTAAATGCATCAAATATTAAAACTCATCTACATTATATGAGACCGATTCAAATTCAAATTGATGAATGTCTCTTTTATACTTTGTTTGATCCACAAACTATGCAATTTGATCTCACCTCTCACTAATAACAGGGTGAGATTCTGGGAACCCATTTTGAATTAATTATTTTTTTCGTGAGTGCATAGGTTTTCAATGAGGCAATACTTGATCTTTGATCTTTTCCAGCTTTTACATGAAGTATACTATCTGTCTTACTCCCCCAAATGTTAAAGTAGATTCCTTTACTGTCTACCAAGCGTGTCGCAGGTTGAGTGAATGAACTTAAAACGAGATGACCACTGAACTCAGACTTTCACAGAAAATTTAGCTCACACTTGGAATTTGCACGTTAACAAAGAGATTTGTCGCATTTGCCATAATGTTATCGTTAATGGGGAACAATATAAAGGCATGGTTAATGACTTTTCCGTGCCTGAATTCGAGGATTGAATATCTGGACCACCTTTGGCTTCTACGCTACACGCCATACAGTCAACGAAACAATCAATATGTGGAAGGAAACTTTTGGTAGTTGGTACGCTATTGTTAAAATTCGTCGAAAATTGGGCCCTACGACTAAAATTTGTTCGAACCAGCCGCTGCGAACACTAGCCCACAATCGTATATATAAAACCCTTATTTTTATAAGAGAGCTTAATTCTTAGCGATGTCTAAAAAATGAAACATATAATCGTTAAAGAGATTTTCAACCGAGCTTCTCCAATTCATCGCATACGCCCTACAGTTTATTCCGAGACGCCTGCGAACGGCACTGATTTTTATGAGGAGCTTTTATTTCAAGTCAGAATTTAATTTTATTTCAAGTCAGGATTAACATTCTCTGGCGAGTGGCGACCGCAGTAAAAAAATCATTTTCTGTAATTTGAATGTTTGGTTAGACTGGAACCTGAACCCTGGCCTTCCGAATGTTAGCGCACAACGCTAACTACTCGGTTATGGACAGATGCCTAAACACTAAACCACAACCGCTGTCCTAAGAGGCGATTAAAATCCAATAGTTCCCGCGACAGTCGAGCCGGAACGAACGGTTTTTTATTCGGCCAAGGAATATTAGTACTAGGAATGTTAAAACTAAAATAAATAAATAAATTAAAGTTTTTCCAGGTGTTTATGTATGTACATACATAGTTTTATTCTTGTACAATGTGTGTGTGAAGCAGTTTCAGTTTCCTTAAATTACTAACAGTTCTTAATCATCCTTAAATGCTATGCCCTCTATCCATTCTAGGTATGGATATATTTTTATATAAACACCCGGCGCTTTGGGCTTAGCACAAAATTTACCAAAAGATGTAACGCCAACAACAAATTTCACACATTTCATTTCCGGTAGTTCAGCATGCAGCGGCCCGCCAGAATCACCTTGACATGTATCCTTCCCACCATTCAGGTGACCGACACAAAATTGCTCATCTGAAATGCCTTTTGGTAAACGACGTTCCTTACGATACAGTTTTTCACACAAATCTTGATTGATCATGTTTAATTGCACCTTCTGGAGCGCATTGGATCGTGGACCCCGAAACTCTGTTCGTCCCCAACCAGTAGCAACCAGGGTCGGTAAGTTGATATCTGGCAACTGCCATAGGCATGCTGGTTGCACTTTTGCAGTTATATTCACTTTTCGTGCCAATTTCGCCAATGCGATGTCATGATAATAGGTGAAGGATTCATATTTCGGATGTAATATAATAATGGAAATGCTTATATCTTGTAGATTAGTGGAGTTTTCTTCATTGAGGTTGGTCACGCCAAGGCGAACTATGTCCGGTGGTTTGCTGAAAGACAGACAAAAAAGTTGTTTCTTTTTTTTTTGCTTTATTGACATTAAAACTTACTCGCCGGAGGTTATGCAATGCCCTGCTGTAAGCACGTATTGCTCGCTAATCAATGTGCCGCCACAATTCCATTTTATATCACCGTCTGGTTGGGTCCAACCTAGTGCGGCCTGTAAAAGTAGTTTTAATAATGTTCAACTTATTATATATGTATATGTGTATATGCAGTTTATAGCAACGGACCATGTGGGGATACTCGGCTTCATTAGCAACTTGACCGCCAACAATCAATGGCAAACTGGGTACACAGGTTTTTCCAGAAAACATGCGAGGTAAATCGATTTTCACGTTTTCAATGACGTCATTATATTGTTTACATTCTAGAAAGACGAAGAGTGGACTTTAGAAGAAATCAGCATGTTTTTCTCTTATTATTAACTTTTGCAAAAGAAACCAACTCACTCTTCGCGCTGATGCTCTGTGCCTCCACATGTTTCTCCGACAACGGACAGCAGATCACCGGTAAATTTCTACGATAAGTGCATACATCTATTTTAGTGCCATGCTCGCGATAACTCTTGATGACATGTAAGCACTGATAAGCCAAGATACAATAACCACTACGTCCATCAAAGCTACGACGACAAAATGAGCCTTCTTTTTGCTCCGAGGTAGCGGCTATCTGATTCTTTGTTTTATCCCTAAATGTTTGATAAGGCTGTGGATTCCGTTGTGCTTGATGCGACGCACTAAACGCCGTATTATCGTTGCCATTGTACGAATACGTATTGGGCATGTGTGTCTCACGCTTCGGCAGACCAGTGTTCGTCTTGAGTATACCCATAAAATTAGGTTTTGCACCGAAGATATATTGCGGCTGTGTCCCGAATGTGTCCAAGTTATTGGAAGAATAGTCTTTAAATGTTTGCTTGTTACCCCGCCATGGTTTAGAAATTGTGTATTTGGTGCTTGTGTAATAATGAAAAGCCTGTGGCGAACCAAAAGCTTTACAAATAAAAAATAAATTAATTATGTTAACCAAAAACTTTACAAAAAAATATAATACAAAATACAATTACCTGCGATGAGTGTGAAAAATAGACTAAAAATAAATAATTTGTCAAGTAATCGCACACGGAACATTGTTTTGCTAAACGTAAAAAATCCAAAGGTATAGAGGCAGAAAGACGGCGGAGGTAGGCCTAGAAAAAGAGTCGATGATTTGTTAGTATATTTCTCAAAAAAAAAAAAAAAAAAAAAAAAAAGGAGACCGTTACATGCATTTTGGAGTATGTCAATGTAAAATGTAAGTGATAAATAAAAACAGTAAGGAATAACATGTTCGTGTGGAAGCGATCATTTCGTTTAAAAATAATTTATAACCTCCAAGTCGAGTGGGATTTAAATGCTATCCTTGAGTCTATGGATAAAAAATAAATAAAAATACTCTTATATGGGATATTGTCTCGCTTGTGCAGCGATTTTCGCTCGAACTACTCCTCTATTGGTTTTGCGCTTTGATCTTTTTTCAACCAATGGAGGGACCTACAGCTTATTCAAAGCCGAATGACCGTTAGATTTCGATAAGGAGCTCATATTTTTTGTAAGAAATAAACTGGGAGGAGCTTACATTCTCATTCGAGGCACGACCACAATTAGATAAACTTTTTTTTTTTTATAATTTTTGGTGTTGATCGAACTCTGTCCTTCTATGCTTCTAATAAATAATGGGATATATTTATGAAATATTTTAAGAGATGCGCGTTTGTAGTTAAATGGACAAGATTTCCATTAGGATTTCTATTTTTTAATTCTCGCATCTTATACGTTCTTCGAAAATTTAAAACAAGTTCAGTCTACTTTTGGTGTACAAAAAACTAAAAACCCACAAAAAAATTTATTCAGTTTGCAAAAAAATATATTTGAAATTAGAGTTAATTAGTTTTGCTAGATTTTAATAAATTTTACTTTAAAAAAACTTCTTTTCTTGAGTTCTTTTACAATAAAAATACAATTTATTAATTTATCTAAAGCAGAGATGTTCAACCAACGAAACGATGCTTTGCTAGGTTAAGTTAGGTTAAGCTGGCTGCCGCATTGGGTCTAACATAGACGATAATACATGTGATGTGTGAAGAACATTGCTATTCTTTCCGCGAACTGTAGTAGCCGCTTTGGCCCCTAAGCTATTGCCGATTGAAGTTTCTGGAGCCTTACTGACCAAAGCTAGCATATCCTTTATCTTTCAAATGCCGGACACACATTCATAGATTACATGCTCCACTGTCACCACAGATTCCTTGCATTTCCTACATTTGTTATCCCCAGTCAGACCTCTTTACAGAGAGTACAAACTTTGTGTGTTCTGTGCTATATGTTTTATACATAGATTTTGCAATTCTGCAACCCTTAGTTTCTTGCCAGAGTCTATTTGCCTGACGAAGCAGCATTACTTCTTGCTCTTGCTTCACTTTCTTAAATGGAACTTGGAGGTTCGATGTTTTGTCCTGTTCCAAATAGACACCCTCCTTAGCAAGCTCGTCAGAAATATTGTTACCTTCAATGTTCGTGTGACCTTACACCCAGTAAATGTTCACTCTTCTGTTTTCAGATAGCACTTGAAACGCTTCGTTACGTAACGCGACCACAGCTAACTTCGTGCTGTATGAAATTAAGGGCTTTATGTAGCCTCTGCCGCCATTTTTATAGCAAAGACTTCGGCTTGGAAGATACTGCAATGGCTTAATAGCTTATACGACTTTCTTATCTCTGTTTGGGCGCAATAAACTGAAGACCCCATTCTATCGTTCATTCAAGACCGTTTAGAGCTTTGTCTTCAAATTTCAGACCTTCGTTCCAGCTAATTGCCTCTATTGTAGCTGAAAACAGCTTCCTGAGATTCAGGAGCGGTATTAATGTTAAGACCGCATAATCTCGTCGCTATCGTTAATTATAAAATGGCTTTGTATATGTATGTACGTGTATTACCTTAAGACTATCGACTTTCAGTCTTGAACACTTATTGAACACTGACCGCCATTTATGCTGCCGAGCATTTTAAAACCTCAGTTTGTCTAAAAAAAACCGCTACATTAACGAGATATGTGTGCAGCTGCTTGGAATATCCTGGATACTGGAAATTTGCATAGCAAGCAATAAGTCTCAAGGCATTGCTGCTTTGTGAATCACAAATGCATAAATGATTTCATTTTCTTAAATCCTTTTCAAGGTCGTAGAGAGTCTGATTTTCCAATATTTGCAAGATTATTCCGTGTTATACTCAACTCACATGTGCAGCACTAGAGCGACCCAAAAACAACAAACAATAGAAATTGCGAATTATAACCGCCAGAAAGAATAATGCAACTCCTTACTGTTATTATGCGCTTCAAAAATATGTATACCATAATTGCAATTTATATACATAAATGTATAGTAGCGGGAAAAATAATAGCATATGAAAGGTGTTTGCTATGAATGGGATAACAAAGGAAGTTATTTTCAATCTAATAAATTTAATATCATATTTTTCTGCATTGTTTTTGGAATTCAGAAAATAAAAAAAAAACGATTTTCGAAAATATTTAAACAATGCTCTGAGCGACAGCTCGAATTTGCTAATATCTAAAAACTTTATCTTAAGACCTTTTAGAATCATGGTCTAGTGCGTACTTATGAATATTAATTATAAAGCAAATATTTATTTTTCATATATAATAAATATTTCGAGCAAAGTTTGAAGCACTTAGATTCTATTTTAGATTTTATGCAAAATATTAGGTCAAGTAAAAAGTTCGTTCGGTTTTTATCTAAGAAATGGCGCTGTTGTCCATAGTACTGGTGTTACGCGTCGCATCATGTCATACTATACGGCGTTTATTCGCGCTAAAAGTTTGTCTTTGACAGTTTTTCGATTGATTGACTCAGCTCAATTCCGGAAATTACGATATCAAAGATGCCCCACGCGTCGGAGGGCCTGTCGTCGAAAATTGCGACAAAATCATGGAATAGTGGAAACAGACCGTCACGTGAGCACTAATTTAATTACTGAGGAAGTAAAGATAAGCCAGAAAACCGTTTGGAACCATTTGCATAAGCTTGGTTTCAAAAAGAAGCTCGATGTTTGGGTGCCACACGAACTAACGCAAAAAACATGATGGACCGAATTTCCATCTGCGAATCGCTGTTGAATCGCAACAAAATCGACCCGTTTCTGAAGCGGATTTTGACTGGCGATGGAAAATGGGTCACTTACGACAACATCGAGCGCAAACGGTCTTGGTCAAAGCCCGGGAAAGCGACCCAGACGGTGGCCAAGACCGGATTGATGGCCAGGAAGGTTTTGCTGACAAGGAATCATCTACTACGAGCTGCTTTCCTTTGGCCAAACGCTCAATTCGGCTCCCCTACTGCCAACAAATGGACCGCTTGTAGGCAGCACTCATCATCTTTGATCAATAGAGGCCGAATTGTGTTCCATCAGGACAACGCCAGGCCACACACGTCTTTGGTGACGCGCCAGAAACTCTAGGAGCTCGGATGGCACCCACCTTATAGTCCGGACCTGGCACCAAGTGGTTACCATCTTTTCCTGTCTATGGCGAACGAGCTGAATGGTGAGAAGTTGGTCTCAAGAAAGGCCTGTGAAAATTGACTCTCAGAATTTTTTGCCAATAAGGAAGCAGCCTTCTACGAGAGGGTTATAATGAATTTGGCATTTCGTTGCCAAAAAGTTTACGAACAAAACGACGCATAATTGAAAAAAAATGAACGAACTTTTTACTTGACCAATATAATATGACCATATAGCTTTAAATATGTGTACTTGTACACCAACGTTGTAAAAATGTTGAAAACAAAAATTCTTGAATTATATCCGGTTTTACATTTTTGGCTAAAGAAGTACAATTTCACTAGGCTACATAGTAACCATAAATTTCACGTTAATCGAAAAATTTCAATCGAATGGTTGTTACGTTTTGAAATGTTATCGTTAAAGCAATTATCAAAATAAATTTAGCCGAGTGATAAGCATTGCGTAGTGACATTCGGAAGGCTCGGGCGCATATACCGATGCCACCAACATGTAACAGTTGTGGAAAATTAATTTAAATAAAAAATTAAGTTAAATTTTCTAATTGCGGTCGCCACTCGACAGGAAATGTCTACCCCTCCGAATATATTTCGGACATGAAAAAAGGCTCCTCGTAAAAAAAACATCAGCCGTTCGGAGGCGGCTTAGTATAAACTGTAGGTCCCAAAACCACAAATTGGAGGAAGAGCTCGGCCGAAAAATCGCTTCAGTGGTTACAAAGCGCCAATTATATATATATTAACGTTTACGATGTCGCTTTGTGCGCTTTGAAAGTTAATGATTTGATAACAATCTTGCCGAAACGAAATTATTTCATTTAAAATACTATCTATCTTGTTTTTATTAACACTTATAAAAGGAAAAAATCCTTGAAAACTGGATCAACGTTCAGGAAATTGACGAAGTTAAAAAAAAACTATAAAAATGTTCACAGAAAGCTCTATAATATGGCGGTGAAATGTTTACTTCACAATTCCTAATTGGCCTAATCCAGCATATGCTATTGTTTTTTCCGCTACTGTAAACTCGCTTATTTATGTATTTGTAGTTGTGAACAGTAATTTCCTACAGTAGCATATGTCTAATTTTTGGAAAACCACTAAATTTAAAAATTTTGCTTACTACAAGATTGGCAGCACACTTGTACATACGTATATGGGCATGTATTCCATTGTCCTTTCATTTCATTTATAGCAATTTAAAAGAGTTTAGGCACTAATATACATGATTTCTACCAGTGTGTACACATTACCGTTCTTTACCAAACGTCCTAAGCAGGTAGCTAAGTCGCAGTATGGAATATTGTAAGCGAACTATCTTAGTCATTGGAAATTCTATACGGTTTGTCATACCGTAGAATGAAAAGGTGGATTATTGATTGCCTCGATGGTGGACAATCATCTGAGTAATGTCGTTATTGTAGATTTGATCTTTGAAAAATTTAACAAAATACTCCGCTCAGCACAAATAATTGGGGCTTTGTAACGGCTTAAGCGATTTTTGGGCGAGCTCCTCCTCCAATTTGTTGTATGTGTCTCAATGTTTTTCCAACAAATCGAGACACTACCTACAGTCAACCGATTCAAAACCGACACCGAATGGCTGAGGCATAGAGGCTTTTCATGAGGAACTCTTATTTCATGTCAGAAATACACTCGGAGACCTGGACATAACTCTTTTAACTTATCCCCTCTAATTTAATTTTTAACTTAAATTAATGTTCTATAATTTTTGGATCTTGATCGGATCAGGCTCGAATCCTTCCTAATGGCAGTACACAAGGCTAACTACTCAGCTATTGCGGCCTCATAAAATATATATGTATGTGTACATAATATGTCCCGAAATTAATATCCTTAACGTTACCTGCTTCTGGACTGCAACTTTTAAATTTTATCAAGGGTAAAATTTTCTTTTTGAGATCGCTCCTGCATTTATGAAGAGAAACATATTATCTATAATTCTTAACATGGGTCTTTAACTCAGAGTAAAATCCACGGCCCAGCGTATAACAGATAACGTAAAAACGAGCAATTACTGCTTGATTGCCGTCATGAGGATCACCTTCTTCAATATCACCCCTCCCTCCTCCGTCCTCCCTCTAACTAACAACTATCCAGCTGTTTTATGCCGTACAGGCAGGGGATGCCAACTCCTTCGCCTGCCTTTCTGATATGAAAAAACTTCTCATAAAAATTCATAGTATGAGTTATACCATTCATTGGATGGACCATTTGCTGGAGCTGGGGCTCGGCCGAAAATCACTTTAGCGGTTATTAAACACTAAATAGTAAATAGTTACAATTAAAACCTCATTCTAAACATGCCGGATGTATGTATGTACTTATTAACGCAGTTTACTGAGTGTGTGTAATTTTACACACAACCTTGTTATACAAAAGTATTGGTCTTATAGATTAGAGTCATCAGGTAACTTTTCTTAGGTTAGACAGCTCCAATTAAAAACTAGCAGAACTACTCCCTCGTAGAGAAAAAGAGACAGACCCACTTTTTTACTTAAAATGAGCTCCATGAGCGAGATGTTCTTCTGTTTTGAACTTCCAAAATACGCAGTTGCTGCTCTGGGCAGAAAAAACCACGCATCTCCCACTTTAATAGTGTCAAAATGTCTTTCTTTTCTTAATTCATTCAATTCCTCTCTCCACAAAAGCTTTCCAATAGTGTTTCGTGTTTTAATCTAGCAGAACAATATGACTGAAGTCTCTGTTCCTCAACTCGCTGAGCTATTTAAATACCATAGAGCTCTTCAGTCCGTTAGATGTTCGCAGATGACTGTAAATATTTGTTTAAAAGACTCTAATGCCGGCTTCACGGATGTAGTCAACAGCCAATATTTGTACATTTTCTACTTATTTAGTTCTGCAGCTAGTATTACTATATTCTTCGAAAGGAAGTCACCTTGTCTGACACTTCGTTTGATACAGAACGGCTTGGAGCGATCCTTCCAAATTCTTAAGGACCTCAAGGTGTTGCTTAGAGTCAGTCTACATGCAACGCCTAATATAAGCTCCTCATAAAAGCTCAGCAGTCGTACGTAGGCGACTTAGATTAAATTGTATGTCCCTCCTTTTGTTGGAGAAAATCATCAAGAGGCGCACCAGAAATTAAAGGAAGCGCTCGGTCGAAAATCGCTGCAGAGCCAGCAATTACATACTAAAGATTTGCGGTTATTCGGTGGCTGATAGGGCTGATCTTATTCTGTCCTTAGCAAAAGCTATCTTATTTTTTAAATACCATAAACTAGTAATATCAATGAGCGATTAAAATGCTAACCGCGCTTTTAAAAAAAACAAGCTTTGAAAAAAAAAATTCAATTTAAAAAAAATGAAGCTAAATAATTACATCTCAAAAAAAAAAAAATGAAAGCATGACTAAAAATGTCGTTTTAACACGACACAACGTTCAGTCTGATTCTCGATTAGCTAACTGATGGACGCAAAACAGAAATTGCTTTATTAATTATTAATATATTGTAATTAAAAAATTTGTGTGAAATACACTTACCATGAAATTCACAACGCTGTTAATCTCATATATGCAAGGTGCGTTGATTATACTCGTATGCGGCAACGGCGTGTCCGGTTCGCGTAAAACCCGAAAGGTGCACGGTCAAGGCCAAAACCCACATGCCGTCGTACAAACACCGCCTGGCGACTATAATAATCCAGCTGATTTTTTTCCAACATACAGCAATGTCAACGATAACGGCCACGGCAACGGCAACGGCAATGGCAATGGCAATGGAAATGGAAATGGTAAAGGTCGAGGTCATGGTAATAATGGCGGTGGCAATGGTAATAATGGCGGTGGTAAGAATAACTTGCAAGGCTTCGTGTTAGCGACAGAATCGGATAACACTAAAGCACCGGCAGATTGTGACAATCCTAATGGACCTGGTAATGGTCATGGACGTGGTCATGCTTACGGCCATTGCCGTGGTAGAGGTAATAAGTTTGGTCCAAAACCACCACCACCAGGACTTTACAAACGTTTCGCTGCAATCTACAATAGTGTCGATCGTCAGGTTCATGGCGAGGCTTACGATGAGGATTTGGAGAATGATGAAGTTAATGATGATTTCAATGGAAGATCAATAGTAGCGCCGGGACAATATCCACATATGGTAAAAAAAAAAACAACAAAAAAACAATAATTTTTAAAATAAACCAATAACAAATAACCAATCTAAACCGGTTCAGCGGTTTTGTTTAGCTCTAATCATATATGTATGTATGTACAATATTTTGCATTGAAATTGCTCATATATCATTTGAGGTCACAGACTCGCTCACATATTTAAACACTCATATAAGTAGAATAGAACAAGTGATAAGCATGCCCTCGCCATAATTAACTAATTAAATTGCATTCAAAGTAAATAAATATTCTAATTCATCTTTGTTTTACTTTATTTTTCATCCACTGCATTCCAGGCTGCTCTCGGTTTTCGCTCCTTCGACGATAGTTATGAATACAAATGTGGAGGCAGTTTAATTAATGAAGTGTTAATTTTAACGGTTGCACACTGCTGTTATCACAGCGGGTAAGCGATACTAATCAAATTTGTTTAATTGTTTATAATAGAAAAATGGAGTGGAGATCTTCCTCTGCTTCCACCGGAAACCTTCCAAAGTTAGAGTGTTCTCTTCCACGCAAATTAGCCAGCGCAGCTGCCGTCTCTTGATTCGCTGAACTATGCCAATGTCACCGTATATCTCACACTGCTCATCGTTCAATCGGCTGCGGTATTCGCGGTTCCCAAGTCGCAGAGAACCATAAATCTTCTGCAAAACCTTCCACTCGAAAACTCCTAACCGACTCATTGTTCACGCCACCGCACCATATAGCAGGACGGTATTTGTTTGTCGAGAGTGGAGCTCAATTGCATACTCAGTCCAAACTAGGATTTGTTGGCAAAAGTGATCCTTCGTTAGATTTCCATGTTGAAGTTTTTATTAGTATTAATACCGGTTTAGAAATAGACGATAAACCCATATGCTTCGCTTCCTCATCTAGTATGGAGAAAACAGCTGTTGAGGCCACTGAGGTCAATATCAGCGGCATATGCCAGTAGTTGTACACTCTTATAGAAGATTGTACCATCGCTATTCAGCTCCACATCTCTTATTATTCTCTCCATCATTAAATTGGAGAAATCACACGACAAGGAATCACCCTGTCTGAAACCTCGTTTAGTACCGAACCGATTCCGACTGCGCTTCTGGTGTTGTCTAATGTCAGTTTACACAGTCGTATAAGTTTTGCGTAGATTCCATATTCAAACATAACGGCGTAAGGTAGCTCCTGTTCAAGCTGTCGAAAGCTGCTTTAAAATCGACGAAGAGGTGGTGTGTGTTGATCATTTTTCTTTGGAATTTTCCAAGATCCTGCGCATGGTGAATATCTGGTCAATGGCGGATTTACCAGGTCTGAAGCCACACTGATAAGTTTCAAACAGGTTGTTGATGGTGGGTTTGAGTCTTTCACACAATACGCTCGATAGCACCTTATATGCGATATTTAGGAGGCTAATCGGACGGTAATCGGAGCAGTCAGTGGTTTTTATGAATTGGGCAGAGCACATTTAGATTCCAATCGTCGAGCAAACTTTTATCCGATCGTATTTTGCAAAGAAGCTGATGCATGTACCTTTTCTGTTCTTCGCCGCCGTATTTGAATAGCTCGGCCGGTAATACATTGGACCCCGACGCTTTGTTATTTTTAAGCGAACAATTGACGTTCGAGCTACTTCAGAGTCGAGCAATGAAAACTTTGTTTCAACGGCTCACCTTATAAGGGTATTCCATTTTCATTGCCATTCAACAAGCTGGAGAAGTGCTCTCTACATAAATTCATCATATTTTGAAGATCACCTCTTTGGAGCTCATAATTCTAGAATTTTCGAGCAGCAGCCCTATCGAGCTACTTTTTAAGCTCCTAATACTCAATCAGATAAGGTTCTTCATTTTTTGCCTTCAAGTCTCGGGACCTATCCCAACCCGCCCATGTAATGGTGTACCGGAGAGCTGGAACCAAGTTCGGATTGCTCGAAACATAAATATTACATTCTCTAAAAGGAAGAGATCACCGACAGTGATCCGGCAGGGTATGTTCGCTTCCCCTCTTTGTTATTTTTCGGCTTATACGTTCATCTTGAGTATGAATATGCATAGATCCGAATGGTGCGTTTGGCTTACCTCGAGGCATTCAAATTGACGTTTTTGAGATAGAGTTTGTGCAACGAAGAAACAGTTAGATATTTAGTATATACTATTTTGATTTAAATGATGCTTAATTCGGAAAGCCACAACAATGTGTGGTCTGCTAGTTGGTAATAAATAAATTTTGTATATAAATTTCACAACACAAAGAAAAAATCGGCCGAGTGTTACAAGACTTAACCTTAATATTTTTTTTTAACTCTAAAGTCAACAGCCCGAGACCGTTAAAGTTGGTGACATTAATTTGAAGAATATTGCCTTAGATGATGTATTTCAAGTGCGTCCAATTGCCGAGATCCAAGTACATCCGTTATATAATTCAACACTTTACTATCATGACATAGCGTTGATACGCTTGGCGCAGCCCGTGGTGTAAGTTGGCAATGGATTTATGATTATATACTTTTATTACTTTCATATTTACACATACACAACACCCTACCTTTCTATTAGCTACACCAATTTTGTACGGCCGATACGTCTGTGGGTGAGTGATGATATTCCTTACAACAAACTTCATGCGATGGGTTATGGCTCGACAGCTTTTGCGCAGGCGCCCACAAATGTCTTAACAGAATTGGAATTGTCCATAGTGCCACTGCTTCAATGCAATCAAATTTTACCCTCAGACACCGGTGTACCGGATGGACTGCTGGATTCGCAGATTTGCGCTAAAGACTACGAACGAAATCGGGATACATGTCAGGTGGGCTTTTATTTAGCTCTTATTTTCTTTAGGTCTTTTGAAAATGCGTACGTATATATGTATATTTAGATATAGATTTGCAGGTTACATAGCTAGAAAGCATGTTGAGAAACACGAACAGCAGCAGAGTCGAAAAATAGACCTGAACAGGGTATATGTATGGTCCACCACTCAGATTTGCTCTTAGTCATAGTACTATGTTTTTATTGTATATTTTGCTCTTTTTTTCTACAAATGGAGGGACCTAGAGTCTTAAACAGTTTCTAAACTTCTAATAGATTTTCATAAGTCGTTGGTAATTTCTCGTCAGAAATTTACCTTGAAGTACTGATAATAGCTCAGCTGTGAAGGTGGCCTAGTGTGGATATTAATCCACGACCTACAATTCACCAGACTTCAACGTGATATCAAGCCTTTCCCTTGACATTTATTACTTTTGAAGTCGAAAGGGATTACCTAGATGTAAATAGAAATACCCCTAAATACATTTTAAACTCGGTCCTAGATATCGCTCGATGTGCTATCAAATTTCATCATGGCGTTGAAACCATTTGTTGTTCTCAGTGAAACTACTTATATTCGCTACGCTGTTGAAGCATTTTCTATATAGTTCACAGCTGTGGTGGGGCAGGACCATTTCATAAACATACTTTCTAAAAGCCCAGTGATATAATATTATAGCTACACATCTATATATATAGACTTTTCCCAGATCTAGTTAATAGGTCCGTAGTTGATGCCCTAACCTTGGAGTTGGATTTGCTCAAATTACAGGTGGATTTGTCAATGACCATAAAAGCCCTCCACAATTCTGGACAACCGTTGCAGTAAACCTCTTGACGTGACCGGAGTATCACTTCCACAACGAAGCGTTTATTCTACGAGTAAAGGATCATAATGCTATGATGTGCAAGCAATGTCTACTGGGATGCTATCGTAGCGAGCGTTTACTTAAGCCTAGGTACATCAAAAAGAACGCTAGGCAGGAAGACAGGCTTTAAACGCCGTTCACCGAGAGTCCGTTACCACCTTCTTGAACTCTCTTCCAATGAACGATGTTCTCGTAGTCAAATCACCACTCACTGCTGACGAAGAACTCGAAATGCCTCGCGAGGTCCGTGTAAATCTGGATATTGTTGTAGACTAAACTCTTACCTATCAAGACTTGACCTCGATTTACCCAACGTATGTCCTGCATGCAAAGAGATCGCGCACGACACTGACCACCTTTTTACAGGCCCCTTAAAACTTACTCGTTCCTCACTATCTACCTCACTTCCCTCTGGTCAGGGCCCGTCGAAATTGCTTGCTTCCTGGTACTTCCGTTGGATGACCTAAATAACTTAAACTGATCTGGCCTGGGCCTAGACTAGCCTCTAAAAAAAAACAACAACACGTCAAAATTAACCATTGGCGTCCCTAAGGCCAGCCACGCAGTCTTCTTTTCTGAGTATTCTTTCTGTATTCTCTAGTAGTCATTCCTTATAGCTCAATAGTCTCTTTTATGCAAAGTACTTGGAAGATGCCAGCTGAGTTAGGTAGACGCTGAGTGAGACAGAGATGCTAAGAACTTTGTATACCTCTACCACCATATCGCAGTCCCTTTGTAGTCTGCCTCTAGTGGAACTAGAACAACAACTTAGGGAACAACAATAACAGAGATAAATCAAGCATGTAACAGCCTATTTTACTTTTCTTCCATATTCTTTTATTTCGCCCTTAATTTTCTTCAATTCTTTTCAGGGTGATTCTGGGGGACCACTTCAATTGAATCTAATGCGTAAGAATAGGAAACACTTTCGCTACTATTTAATAGGGATGACATCTTATGGAACGTTCTGTCGCAGTGCATATCCCGGCGTGTATACACGAGTATCGTCCTACATTGAATGGATCACTTCAGTTGTTTGGCCAGATTATTATAATAGCTATTTTCCAGCGGAACAGTAATTATGAAATAGAAATGTTAAAGGATTAAACATACAAGTCGCAGAGAGAGTACTTGGTAACCAAGCAATTTGTTTATTTATTAAATCAATAAACAATCCGTGGTATTATGCAAAGTTGTATTACTCAAAGGCTTAAACGTGTGGTTTATATTTTTAATAAACATAATTTGGTTTGATGGCCGGCAAAGGCAAAAAGAAACGCAACAGCAAGGATTCCACTTCAAGTAATAACGGTAATGGCGAGGAGGGCGATAAGAAAAAGGAAGGCAAGAAAAAGAGTAGCAGTAGCAAATCGCTGGGATGTGACATTTTCAATGATGTAGCCATGGAGAATGCCTACTATGTGTGCCATAATGTTCAGGTATGGGTTACTTAGGTATTAGTATGCAAAATAAAATATAATTGTATACACGTTAGGCTCTAATAGCTTAAACATTCCAAACTTGTAAGAAGATCCACGTGTCCAGGCCCTCTTAATTTAAAAACATACAGTTTGATTGCAGCAGCTTTTGAAATCAGTCGACCTCAGTTCCCTTTGAAATTTTTCTTTTACGGCCTCAATCGAATCGAAACGGGTTCCACGGAGTGGTAACTTGAGTTTTGGAAACAAAAGAAAGTCTCATGTGGCCAATTGCATACTCAGTCCAAACTAGGATTTGTTGGCAAAAGTGATCCTTCGTTAGATTTCCATGCTGAAGTTTTTGTTGATGTTAATACCGGTTTAGAAATAGACGATAGACCCATATGCTTCGCTTCCTCATCTAGTATGGAGAAAACAGCTGTTGAGGCCACTGAGGTCAATATCAGCGGCATATGCCAGTAGTTGTACACTCTTATAGAAGATTGTACCATCGCTATTCAGCTCTGCATCTCTTATTATTCTCTCCAGCATTAAATTGGAGAAATCACACGACAAGGAATCACCCTGTCTGAAACCTTGTTTAGTACCGAACCGATTCCGACTGCGCTTCTGGTGTTGTCTAACGTCATTTTACACAGTCGTATAAGTTTTGCGTAGATTCCTTATTCAAACATAACGGCGTAAGGTAGCTCCTGTTCAAGCTATCGAAAGCTGCTTGAAAATCAACGAAGAGGTGGTGTGTGTTGATGATTTTTTTTTTTGGAATTTTCCAAGATCCTGCGCATGATGAATGTCTGGTCAATGGCGGATTTACCAGGTCTGAAGCCACACTGATAAGTTCCAAACAGGTTGTTGATGGTGGGTTTGAGTCTTTCACACAATACGATTATTTAATATATATACGATATTTAAGACGCTAATCGGACGGTAATCGGAGGAGTCGGCGGTTTTTATGAATTGGGCAGAGCACATTTTGATTCCAATCGTGGGGCAAACTTTTATCCGTTCATATTTTGCAAAGAAGCTGATGCATGTACCTTTTCTGTTCTTCGCCGCCGTATTTGAATAGCTCGGCCGGTAATGCATTGGATCTCGACGCTTTGTTATTTTTAAGCGAACAATTGACGTTCGAGCTACTTCAGAGTCCAACAAGAGAAAGTCTCATGTGGCCAAATCCGGTGAATACAGTGGTTGATCGATGGTATTGAAAGAGTTTTTGGTCTTAAATTCGTTCACAGCTACAGCTCGATTCGATGGCGTATTGTCGTCATGAAAGTTTTCGGAAATCGCTGGCCAACAATTCCGGCCGTTTACGACGGAACGAATTCATGATGAACCAAACCGCAAATATCGAAAATTTATCAAACCCTGTGTTTCTCTTGGCTCTTCTATGCGAACGATGTGTGACCAAGAAATTTAAAATCTTCTTAAGGTTTTTGAAAAAATCAAAGTTCCAAATGCAAGGACGATTTCTGAACTGTTTTCGTAGTTGACGGATAGCTTTTATGGAACACATAGCACACAAAAATGTGTTTTTCAGATCTGGAGTGTTTTCCTAAATCCGGACGGCGTGATTTAGGACTATAATGCTTTCGCAAATCTTTCTTTAATAAAACCGACTCATCCAGTTTTGTTATGGACCATGCTTATGCATCATAACACAAGTTTGGTGTTTGTATGAGGCAAACCCACTTTTTTTTTAGACCGACTTTGTTCTTGATCATGCTTCTAGTTCCTAGATAAAATAAATTATTTACGACTTCAGTGCTACAACTGTCAACTTTGACGTGGGAACGAACTCGTGAACACGCTTACTGCCTTGTTTGGTATCTGGTCCAGTTCGAAGAGGTCCTATTCACTTGTGCCGGAACGTAAAATTATTTAGTCAACCGCTTGTTTCAAGAGCGACGCCAGCTTACAGCCGCACTCCGGTGAACAGTTGCTGCCATTAAGACTTCTGTAGACGCTTAATATATGTTGAAGTCCCTTCAAAGAAGCTCCCTCTTTTAGATGGGAAGAAGGGTTGAGCGTATAGAAAGAGAACCGATTCTTAACAAGACTTGTATATATTGATAATGGCTTAATTGATTAAAACTTTTTATGAGTTTTGAGAATTGCATATGAATAAAATATTATATAATAAAGAAATTCTTGGATGTGTGGTTTACAATATTTCTTGATTTATATTCAGTTTGGTTCGCCATTTTGGTCGACATAATAGCTAACGGAGTCGGTAATTCGAGCAATGATTGGTCCGATTGCACACCACATAATATTCCTCAAACATTAAGCCGGTTGTAATGTTAGAGTTAATAGGGTACGCTATAGAGCTGCCATGATTAATGATATTTTAGTGCCCGAATTTGAGTATGTCGCTGTAGGCGATTGGTTCCAACAAGACGGCACTACATGCCATACAGCCAACGCAACAGTCCATTTATTGTAGGAAAATTTTCGTCAGCACATAATTTGGGGTTGGACTATTTTTTTAGAATTATGTGAAATCGCTTGTCTAGGCTGATAGCCCCTAGCCCATTGACGCTTTGGAAGAGAATACTCAAATGCTTACATATGACCCCATTGGTCGAAAATCGAACCTCACGACTGGAGGTGATTCCAACCAGCCGCAGCGGGCAATTCTCCGAAATGGCAAACCCTTAGCTTAAAATTAAACATAAATTCTTTGCCTTAACATTAAATTAAATGCGTTTTAATTCGTCTTGAAAACCAGATGTCTTAAAAACACCCTTCATTAAATTATTATAGTTACTGCTTAAAGGAAAATCGCTGGGCTCCAAGTACATACCCAAGTATGTACTTAAGGCAATTGAGTGTGTCAACACATAGCCTAAACGTGTTAGGATATTTAAAGAGAAAATTACAGAGAATGTCATTTGGGCTCCAGGTCACATGGATATAGAAGGCAAGAAAAGGTAAACGGGCAAGCGTATTGATGAGTGCATAAGTTCGTGCTCGATTTCAAGTGCAAACTAAAATTGAAATTTTTTGAAGAAAGCGCTTTTATTAATCAATTATGTATTCGCCATCATGTTCGGCAATCCACTCCCAACGTTCAACCAATTTACGGATGCCTGATTTATAGAAATCGCGCGGTTTCTCGTTGAAAAAGGTGTCAAGGTGGTTTTTGACGTCTTCCACATTTTTAAATTTTTTTCCATTCAAATTGTTCTGCAGCGATCGAAACAAATGATAATCAGAAGGTGCAATGTCGGGTGAATATGGGGGATGCGGCATGATTTCCCAATTCATCTCCTTCAGTTTGGCCAGGGTCGGTTTTGCAACATGTGGCCTGGCGTTGTCATGATGGAAAAGAACTCCTAAAGGATTGATTTCTTCAATTCGACCAATTGCTGACAATACATGTTGGCAGTGATTGTTTCTCCAGCTGGCAAGAGCTCAAAATAGATCACGCCTCGGATATCCCACCAAACACACAGCAGTACCTCCATCGGATGCAATCCACCTTTCGACATCGGTTCCGCCACTTCGTGTGCCTGTTTCCATGTTCTTTTGCGTTGAAAATTGTTGTACAGGATCCATTTTTCATCACCAGTCACGAGCCGATCCAAAAAAGGTTCGTTTTTGATCCGTCGAAGCAAAGAAATTGCTGTTGACATACGGTCCACTTTGTTTTTTTCACTCAACTGATGTGGCACCCATGTATCGAGCTTCAAAGTGTACCCAACCTTTTTTAAACGACGAAACGCAGTTGATTTGTTGACGTTCAATTCACTGGTAACCTCTTCCGTCGAAATACGTGAGTTATTCGCAACTAAACTCCTTAGAACATCGTCATCAAGTTCAGAAGGCCGTCCACTGCAAGGTTGATCTTCGAGGTTAAAATCTCCAGAACGAAATTTCGCGAACCATTTCTTTACTGTGCGGAGTGCTGGAGCACGGTCCAAATAAACTTCGTGAATATCTTAACATAATATGACGTATATGATCTGTTTCGTTGTCCATCTTCCATGCGTCTATTCACTAAGCAACACAAATCAAAATGAAGTTATTTTATGCTTGATTTACAGTTCGGACTGTATATATTTCTTTCACGAGCGCCACTCTCAAACGATTCGAACGGCATCCAGCGGAATCGGGCACGAACTTATGCACTCATCAATATAATAGGCTGAATGCCACCACCGCCTGCCTCATACAAATACTTTAATTCCTGGAACACTTTTAATGCAGGACGTAACCTTAAATTATTGTGAGACAATGTAGATTGTAGACAAACCAAACTGTTTATGTATTGACCAAATTGACTTAGTATTGGGATATCACCATCCCAAGCTAGGTTAAGTGGAATCGGCCTAGTGCAGAGTGTCTACAGAAGATGACGAAACCCAGCAGCACTAGCTTTGTAAGTGGCCGACCGTCAGCCGTAAAAGCATAGTTGGGATATGCGAGGGTAAACAGAATAAGCCTTACAGATGACTTAAGTGAGGTCGCTTGAGAATTGATAAATAGAAATTCATATCTTCCTTACACTATTTGGCGACAATTGGAAATACCAAGTGTAACTAGGTTGCTCTACACCTAACTCTTCCAAAGTAGTGGAGGTGTTCGTCTTCTTCTGCTTCCATTGGCGGGTACTGCATCCCACAGGATTCTGCACTATATAGTAGGACAGGTATGATGAACAACTTGTAGAGATTGGTTTTTGTTCGGGGGTTTGACTATATACACATACAAATTAACTACGTTTTTATGTTAATTTTTGTAAAGAAAAAAATCCTTCTAACATTTCTCTTTGCAGGATTTACTCAAAACTCGCGGATTCGCTTGGCCAGATGGGCAAAAGAAGAAGAAGAAAGGAAAGCGCTAGAGATTATTCCAGCATTAAATCATTTTCTTTATTTTATATTTTTTTAATTTTTCTTTTCAAATGAAATAAATTCATTAATATGATATGCATACATATATATTTGTTTTAGTTGTTGGTTGCCGTCTGCAGACATAAAATGTTGTATCGCCACCCACTCAAAAAAAGTAATCTAAAAACGAAAGAAATTCTATTTTTATGTCAAAGAAAGTCATCATTACATTCGTTTAGTTTTTAATATCGACAATTTAATAAACAAAATTCAAAAACACTGTTCTAGAAGAATTTCCCTTGATGCAAGCAAATAAAAATAAAACAAATCCAAAATTATTAATTTCAAATACACCCAAAGTTTTCCACAATCAACTTGACCAAAAGATTTGCTAGCAAATCACGAAGCATAGCCGATCGAAAGTGCGAAACACATTCACTTTCGCTTCGCAGCATCTCCGAAAAGTAAACAAAACTGTTGAATAAACCAAAAAACATTAAGACGCCTGCGTAAAGAGCTTCGTGTAGTGCACGAGATACAAGTTCGCCAATATCTAAAAAAGAAAAAATTTTATTATTTGGCAAATTCGAAAACAGAACGCCAACGAAACACAAAAGCATAAAATCAAGTGTGACTACGTGAAAACTTAACAGTTTGCCGATGCGTTTGAAAGCGAGCGTTTGAAGAAATTCTTAGCAAGCAGGGAAATATTGTGGATAAATAATAAATAAATCCTTCGTAGGCGGTGAAAGTGCCGAGTGCAACAGAGCAAGAAATAAACATAAAAAAAAAATATTGCATTTAATTTCAATTTAGTGTTTGAGGAAAATACATACATACATATACATTAAATTTTAAGCAAAAACATGGCACCAGCAATCGGTATTGATTTGGGCACCACCTACTCCTGCGTCGGCGTTTGGCAAAATAATAAAGTCGAAATAATTGCCAATGATCAGGGTAATCGCACCACGCCCAGTTATGTGGCTTTCAACGATACCGAACGTCTGATCGGCGATGCGGCCAAGAATCAGGTGGGTATATAAAAATATATAAAGGTTTATGCATGTGTTTGTGTGTATGCAGTTATTATTGGAAAACCGAAAAAAACAGAATTTTAATGGAATTTTCCTATGAAAAAAAAATTAATAAAAAACAAACAATAAGCCAACTTTAAAGCAAGCGAAAAATATGAAATACATAGACATACATACATATACAAGTATGTATATCTGGATAAAAATATGAAAAAATTAGTTTATGAGGACGATTGAAAGTCACTAAAAGTGAGAATAAATGAAACAAGATTTGCTTGTACGTAAATATGTGCAGATAATCCTTACGATATATGTACGTACCCTGCCGAGATCCTTTTAAAAATATTAACTTTACTAGACTAAGATCAATATAGTTTAAAATAAGGGCATTTTTTCAATTCAATCTTCCAAGGAATTAAGATGTAATTATTTTCCCTTAAGACAGTTTCATTTACCTCTAGGTTCTAATACCTCTCAAAGGTTATTAGTTTTTAGTTCGATGTATCTTTCATTTTTTGGTAGATCCAAAGAAGTCAATTTCTTGTAGACTTGAACCAGCAATATGCTCCCCCTCACACATAGTAGAAATTCCCAAGTTTACTGTAGATTAATTCCTGAATTACTTCAAAATTTGAACAAAAACAGGTAGCTACACCAGAACAACTGATTTTATGTTTTTATGGCATTGCATTTCGGTTGTCAAATCTCAACGAATCCTTTGACAATCGCCCGCCGAACATTTTACATTTATTTTAATTAGTCATAATTTCTTTGGTTTTCTTTTGGGTGGCCTCGCCTAGGTAAACCAAATAAGACCGTATAGTTGAAGATAGCAGAAAAGTCATCACTACTTTTAATCCAGGTAACTTGACAACTAAAAATATACCAGTTTCTTAGAGTGTAGTCGCCATAACAACAAGGACCACTCACAAAGCGAATATTCCTTAGCGAATACCTTAAACATTTCCTTTTTATTAAATTTATAAAGTTAAATTTAAAAACAAAATGTAAAAAATTGAATTTGGAACTTGAATTCTAAATGCTCAAATACCTTTGGTGCTTGCAAATCTTCGAACAAAATCTAGAGCTCTAACAGAAGATAATACTGTACACATTTTCTAAGGAGTTCCGATTACCGATATCTTTTGCACTGTTCACTCTTCCATCTGGTCAAATGCCGTTGCGTGAAGTTCATCATAAAAATGACGAGGTTTATACAAAGACTACTCCTGGTATTTGCACCACGATAATCAACATACATCGCCTGATCAGATTCCATGCAACTTCTGGCTGGAACAAGCTCAAAAGACTGCTGAAGGTGAAACTGTTTTGGCCCCATTGAGGCAGTTCAAAGAGAGTCGGAGAAGGATTTGATTACCATTCCGGCCGATGAATATACAATTTTTTTTTTTTTGAGAATTAAAAAAACGGGTGCTGTCAAATAACCCGGGGATATTTCGAAGGCGTTGAAATAAAAGAAAAAATTTATATTTTGAAATTTAGACATTATGCTCAGATATAACAGATGTCTTGGTCAATTATGAATAGAAGTAGCAACTCACCGTCATTTTGAAAAAATTATATTAAAATTTCGGCTTTTAGAAACTAAAAATACGTAGAGATAGATGCCATAAAATTATAGCAAATTTCGGCTTTTCTTAGTGAGAAACGTGGGACGCTGCAATTCTTAGCTGCCCCGAACGATTGATGGATTATTAATAGTGAGTTATATGTGGCTGAAAAATATAAGTAAAATTTATAGTTCCCGCTGAGATAAGAATGTATTTAGAAGAAATTTTATAGACATTTTTCGGCTGCAGTGACCACTCATAGATAATAATCATAGACAGGTGGCATATGGCAGTACTTCCAAGTTAGACCTGGCTGCACTTGGTAATATTATATTTGCTCTTCGTTGATGGACTCATGTAATTTATAGGCTAAAGGTTTTGTGTCATATATATGTAGGTGGCTTTGCTTCGCTTTGCTGTCATCCTTTAAGCTGTCAAGAGAGAACTTGTACAGGGTGCGAATTTTAAAATCTTCCAGCTACAAATATTCGATGTTGTGTATTCCTGGCTGTACTATGTACACAGATTATGTATCAATTGAAGGTTGTATGTAATAGTCGAGATAGATACGGGTATATATACTAAACTTTTATGTATGTCATAATGGACTGACTAGGCGAATATTTTCGTTTGTGCCTGTGTCGGTATGCCCGATAACTCAAGAAAGACTTGAATTGTTCGGATGAAAAATATTTCTGGGGTTACAAGTACCAGAACAAGTTCGGGCTCAGCCTCCGTTAAACGATAATTTAGGAAAGTATATCGCGATAATTCAATTAAATTTGAAGCGCTGAAAATTTTTTTTGTTGATTTTTCTAGTTTTTTTTTTAGAATGGGAACTTTTTTGAGTCAAAAAGTACATACCTTAGAATTCTCGTTATAGAAGGCAGAATTTAATATTTAAATATTTGTATTTCCCATGGTTCAGCACCGTCCCAGCCCAACTTAACTCAAGATATAATTTTTAATACATTAATCAGCAGAACTCAATTGATCTTGGTAGGTATGCTACATTTTGTGATACCTAAGGTCCTGCCGGTACAATAGTGGAACGGCCGTTCGGAGGAAAGTTCTGGACCGACCAACATTCAAAATCATAGAAAATTTATTTTTCCAATTCCGTTCGCCCCTTGGCGAAGACTGTCAATAATTTCGAGTGTATTTCTGTCGAAAAATAAGAGCTTATGACAAAATTCCATCGGCCTTTCGGAGGAGGCTTAGAATAAAATGTGGATCCCTCCTTTTTGGAGGAGGAGTGGGTTCAGCGGTTAAAAAGTGCCAAATTATATTTTACAAAAGATTTCTTTCCGATCGATTTGGACACTCGATATAAATATCAGCAGAGACACTATTCTTTGTCTTCTTTTTCTTTTGTTGAAAAAATTGACTGCAAATTGTGGTAGTAGTTTGTGGAACATGAGTCAAGGACACTTTTCAAATTTGACCTCCTGCGACTTTTTCCTATTTCTAAGATTGAGGAGACCCATGAAACGGCATTATATCGCGACAATTGAGGATATTAGTCGCTGGGAAAGTTCAAAGGCACATCGAAAAGTACAGACAAAGAGCAAAACTGCTTCGCGGATAAGAAAAGAAGGAGGAAAACAGGAAATAAATTTCCACAGAAAAATTAAAATTAATTTTATTTTTTTATTTTTCTCTTGTATGTCTGCATATTAACCAACCTTTAATTCAGAAATGTCTCACCAAAATTCTGTTCCTCAGAATTAGCTCAAATTCGTTGGGTTATTTTGTGACCAAACTCTTATGAGTATGTTAATACCAGAAGGAAAAGAGGTAGAAGCATCAAATTTTATACCGATCGGGTCAGAGTGATGAGTTGAGTTAATTTTTCCATGTCCCTCATGGCCGTCCATCCATTTATTTTTACGCAATCTCCCTCCCTCAGTTTAGGCATTTCAACTAAACTAAGTGCACAGACGTCCGCGTACATTTTAATGATCATTTGCTGGGACCGGCCAGATCCAATTACTATATCATATAGTCCTAATACAACAGATTTTATTCAGAAAAAAAGTATCTAAGAGCATGAAATTGGGTATTTTACAAACGTATGTATGAATCATTGACACCCGAGAATCATCTTAATGAAGGTCTATATGATTTAACGTCCTCTAACCAATTTTTCAGGTATGAGAAATAATATTTAATCCTATGAAGAAATACCATAAATTTGATATGGTCAGCTCTGCTTTCTTGTTATTAGTATTTGAGAGCCGTATCTATGCAGAAAACCGTACATAAATATGTATGTATCTATTGTGTTCTCAAAGATATCACAATGCACCGCTTATATTATAAATACTCATATCTGTTACATTAGCTGACCAAACTCTTATGCTAAACAATAATTTGTAATATTTTATTAATTTTCACGCCAATTTGGTCATTTAAAATTCCATAAATATGCCTGCATGATTGTTTAAGCTTTGGTGACGAAATAAATATAGGTATGTACATTTGTATGCGTGCGATGTGTTAGAATAATATCGCACTTTGACAAGCAGTTGCTATAAAATTTTATGGTGACATTTCATAAAAACTAAACCGAAAATGAAAATCTTGCAACGACGTTTTTCTTGACCCTACACTTTACGGGCAAAACATATGCACATACATACATAGTGCAAGTAGTGCTGGGAATTGCGATGACAGCCTCATGATGATGTTTGTTATTCTCATTGGAATTCTCTAAGTTACGGCACACCAGCGCTTGTCGCCATCTCCCAGTCGGACTTGGCCAAATTTGATGGTACGTCGTGTGTTAAGCAGTTAACATATATATCTACGCGTATGTATGTATGTGTGCACATGTATATTAATGCTTATGAATAACAACTCGTACATACATACATACATTTATGTCATGTTAACTGCTGTCACTCATTATTTTTACAACAGTGAATAATGTTTGTCGGCGACAAGTGCTCAACCGATCGTAATGCCCTTCTATGGATCTAATAAACTAGTCCACTCTCCGACATTTACTACCATTTCGGTGCATTATGTGAGTCGTCGACACCTGTTTAACATCCATACATACATATTATAAATACTTATGTTTGGTATTGTTCATTCAAAATAAAAACATACATTCATACATATGTATGTACATATGTACATATATACTTATTACTATTTTTAATCTAATTAATGTTGTACAAGTGGTAGCGGCGATGTGGGAATTGCGCGAATTTTTGGTGATCGCGTGGGTGTCGTTTTGTTGTGGCATCGTGTGAATCACATATAATATGATATATACATGTAAGCATACATACTCGTACATACGTACATATGAACATATGTATTGTCTTAAGTCACACAGTGTGGAATATTCTGGTTGATTGGGAGGAGGAAGCGTTGGGCGAAAAATATATGTACAAATGAACGTCTGTGTTATATACAAAACAAATAAATATTTGAAATGATTGAAAATCGCCTATTTTTAGAAGAGAAAAATATGGAAATATTTATGAAAAATTTCATATGGAAATATTTATGAAAAATTTCATATATATATATATATATATGAAGCTAAGCTTTTTAACAGCTGAAGCGCTTTTCGGCCGAGCTCCTCCTCCAATTTGTGGTTTTGCGTCTTAATTTTTCTCCAACAAACGGTGGGACCAAGAGTTTATTCTAAGCCACCTCCGTACGGCTGGTGATTTTTTATGCGGAGCCTTTATTTCATATCACATTCCCTAACTTTTCCTACCGGGGGGTGACCGCGATTAGAAAAATCGGCTCGAACACTGGCCTTTAGAATAGCAGTACGCAAGGCAATGCAATAGAATTGTTAAATTCAAGAACTAATTGTAGCCAAATGGGAGGCAATACGTGCTACTACCCGGAGGGATACGATTTAGAGACCAGTCAAACCGTCCCTCCGCAGGCATAACTCCGAATGGATTTCTGTTATGAAGAACAAGTGGAACGCAATAAGCGTTCCTTGGGAAATCGCTTTGACGACGGGCAGAAAAGCCCAACCATCGGTAAAGATCGTTATTCTTTCTTAGGCATTGCTTGCTTCAGAATCGCCTTTCTGTCAAATCACGAAGCATGTAAATCCTAAAAAAATACAAACTTAAAGGTGTTTTTTTAGAAATGTGATTTTCAAGCAGAAATAAAACGCATACAAATTAGCCCTATAAATTCCTGTCGATAATAATGTTTGGAGATTATTTCTGGAAATATTGACCGCATACTCTTTCCAACATTTCGGCCGGTATCTCACGAATAAATGCTTCAATGTTGTCCTCCAAGGCGACAATTGAAGCGGGCTTTTCTGTGCAGACATTAGATTTAACTTAGCCCCACAAAAAATAATCTACAGACGTAAGATCGAACGAACCAGGCGGCCAATTGACCGGCCCTGAACGTGAAATAAAATTTTCACCGAACTCGCCTCTCAATAAGTTCATTTGTAGCGCGTGATGCGTGGCATGTGGCACCGTCTTGTTAAAACCACATGTCATGGAAGTCAAGCTCTTGCATTTTGAGCAAAAAGAGTTTGATATCATCTCACGGTAGCGCTCACCATGAACAGTTATATTACGATTCGTATAATCTTCGAAGAAGTACGGTCCAATGATGCCACCAGCCCATAAACCGCACCAAACTGTGATTTTTCTGAATGCATTGGTAGCTCTTGCAGTGCTTCTGACTAGTCTTCACTCCAAAATCGACAATTCAGCTTATTCATGCACCCATTTAGCCAAAGATGGGCTTTCTCGCTGAACACAACTTTTTTTTTGCTGAACTTTCTTAACAGAGCACGTATTTTTAAAATAAAATTCAATAGTTTGCCAGCGTTTTTCGTTTGTATGACGATTCATGGTTAAATTATAGACCAAACTGAAGATGTTTGACAGTGATACGAAACACGAAACGTGCGTCAGCTGTTTAAACCAGTGTTTCCAAAAAGATAATAGCAAAAAAATCACCCTTTACAACATCTTGGAGGATTAGGCGCAGTCTAAATATAGCTTATATACATTTGTCTACAGTCACGACTTCCCGCAATACCTTCTACTTTCTTTGCCATATAAGATTACCCATCTAACATTTTTCTCTCTAAAGCATTTCATTCCATGGATCTCGAGAATAACTGATAATTAACTCTCTTCGATGCGGGTAAGATAGAGGCAAAAACAAATCACAATCCCTTCACTAAATCCTCTGGTTTTTAAATGGATCGATTTACGACCTCCTGTACAGATATGAGCTACTCTTTAGATTTACAACTCATACGCTGGGTAACATATACATTATAAACGCATCGAGTTTCAGGTAACCACTTTTGACCGACCTTTGATATCCAGGTCCACATTTTAATGATTAAATAGCCGTTTCGTATCTTGTGCCCAAACATAAGAATGTTCTATATAATACTGAGACTCTACATAGAATAATCTAACCAGTAACCTCCTACATAATTAACGAGTATTTGAGTTTCGCTCTCTTACGTGAGTGCCGGGCCTCAGACGAAGCGTTGAGAATTACGTGAACGATGAGCTTAAACCGGCTTTTGTGATCGTTGAATAGTAATATCTTACTTCATTTTTACTGTGTAACAAAAGGAGCCTCCCAATCTCTTTTTCCACAAACCACATACTTAAATACTTAATCTTTTTATTCCTTAATACATTTCCTTTAAATTTCTCTTTCAGGTCGCCATGAACGCCAAAAACACAGTATTTGATGCCAAGCGTCTGATTGGTCGCCGCTTCGATGATACGAAAATTCAAGAAGACATGAAACACTGGCCCTTCAAAGTGGTCAACGACTGTGGCAAACCTAAGATCGAGATCGAATTCAAGGGTGAAATGAAACGTTTTGCACCTGAGGAAATCAGTTCAATGGTATTGACGAAGATGCGTGAGATCGCCGAAGTCTATTTGGGTGGCAAGGTTACCGATGCCGTTATTACTGTGCCGGCCTATTTCAATGACAGCCAACGTCAAGCCACCAAAGATGCCGGTTCCATTGCTGGCCTCAATGTGCTGCGTATTATAAATGAACCCACCGCTGCTGCTTTGGCCTACGGTTTGGATAAGAATTTGAAGGGTGAAAAGAATGTGCTGATTTTTGATTTGGGCGGTGGTACTTTTGATGTGTCCATTTTGTCCATTGATGAGGGCTCACTGTTCGAGGTGAAATCGACAGCTGGCGATACACATTTGGGCGGCGAAGATTTTGATAATCGACTTGTCAATCATTTTGTTGAAGAATTCAAACGCAAGCACAAACGCGACTTGTCATCGAATGTACGCGCTTTGCGTCGTCTACGCACAGCTTGTGAGCGCGCCAAACGTACACTCTCCAGCAGCACAGAAGCATCTATTGAAATTGATGCGCTACATGAGGGTATTGATTTCTATTCAAAGATTAGTCGCGCTCGTTTCGAGGAACTCAATATGGACTTGTTTCGCTCAACTTTGCAACCAGTTGAGCGCGCATTGAATGATGCGAAAATGGACAAAGCTGCCATTCATGACGTTGTATTGGTGGGCGGTTCGACACGCATTCCGAAAATACAAAAGATGCTGCAAGACTTCTTCGGTGGCAAGCAGCTCAACTTGTCCATAAATCCAGATGAGGCTGTGGCTTACGGTGCTGCTGTGCAAGCTGCCATTCTTACTGGTGTCGGCAGCTCACAAATTCAGGATGTCTTGCTGGTGGATGTTACGCCACTTTCGTTGGGTATCGAAACTGCCGGCGGCGTAATGACCAAGTTGATTGAACGTAACGCACGTATTCCATGCAAACAGCAACAAACATTCACCACATACAGTGATAATCAGAATGCGGTTACAATACAAGTCTATGAAGGTGAACGTGCTATGACGAAGGACAACAATCTCTTGGGTACTTTCAATCTCACCGGCATACCGCCAGCACCACGTGGTGTACCAAAAATTGAAGTCACTTTTGATCTCAATGCCGACGGTATTCTACATGTATCTGCTAAGGATAACAGTACCGGAAAGTCTGAGAAGATCACCATCACAAATGATAAGGGCCGTCTGTCGAAGGCCGAAATCGATCGCATGCTTTCGGACGCGGAACGTTATAAGGATGAGGATGAGAAACAGAGACAACGCATAACAGCACGAAATGCTTTGGAGAGCTACATTTTCAGCTGCAAACAGGTGAGCTTAAAGTATTATACCCAGGAATTTATATATGTATAAGCGGTGGCAATAGGCGAGCAGTTTGAGCTACTATGCGGAGGGTTCGAAACCTGGTCCGAGCAAGAAAACAAAACGTCATAAAAAGCGGGTTCGCTCATCGGAGGTTTTTTGTGATTTTCACTTGATTCATTGGAGTTTATGTTTCATGTGATGAGTCTCAAACACTGCGCACAACCGCCAGGGGTCCGCCTTCTCATATCAGCAAACCATCAAACAGATGTTTTTGGCTACCCAGAGGATGATTTGCCTAAGAGCGGCAGTCGTGAGCTACTTGAACCATATGCAAAAGAATCGTTTCTAGCCACTGCCAGGTGAATGACAGTCAAAAAGTGTCTACACTTAAGTGAGCTTCTTCGCATGCCCCCATCTCCCTACTCATCACTCGTCAGTAGATTGGTGGAAATATCAGTGTACACCTGTGGTCTTCTTTCGAACAAAGGGACATCACGTCAGCCCACAATTGCTGACGTAATATGAAGACGTGTTCAGAAGAATCCAGACCCGCTACGGATTGCAGAATATCAGACGACCTTCTTGCACTCGCTAAATCACACTTTTCGTTTTTGGTGCTATGAGTGGGCACCTACAATTTTAAGTAGTCTAAGAAAAGCTTCTATTTCAAAGTCCGATAAGCATTCCCTGTGCAGTGGCGATCGCCTTCAGCTAATTTGTTTTAGAAAAACTCGTTCTGAGGCAGCTTCAATCCACTCGCATGTATTTCGCTTACTTCCTAGGCATTTCATAATATGTACTTTATTTAAAGAACCTTCATTGCTCGCACAAAATCTAAGCATTAGGTATATATGTAATAATAAATAATTTTTCTTTCAGGCTGTTGAAGACGCACCCGCTGGACGCCTAACAGATTCCGATAAGACAACTGTGCGTGATAAATGTACTTCTGAGATGTCATGGCTCGATGCCAATACACTCGCTGAAAAAGATGAATTTGATGATCATCTGAAGGAGTGTCAACGCATCTGTGGACCAATTATGGCCAAAATGCATGGCGCTGCTGGAAGCGGCGACGCAGATGCGGGCAAAGGAGCGCAGAGCGGACGTGCTGGCGGCCCAACTGTGGAGGAGGTCGACTAAAGTGCAGCAAAAATGTCTGATTTCACGCGCATAAACATTTTGATTTACTTTTTGTTATTGTTATATTTTAATTTTAAATTTTTTTTTATTGTTTTATAAATATTTAAACATTTTGAAATCAAATTGAAATATAAAAGAAATAAACTAAATGCATTTAAATTTTGTATTGAACGCAAATGCTCGTACATACATTTGTATATAATAAATGTACAATGGAAAAGCTTGTTGCGCCCAAATCTCTGAATCAACACACAAGTATGTCGCAGCTCGGCTTAGAATAATTTAACGCATAGAACTTTTTCAAAGTCTAGCAAAAGTAATGACGTACCCTGCGCTCTAAGCGCTAGTCTTTAAAGAGAAAGCAAGTAAAAAACAAAGCAAATAAAATCAAAGAGCAACAAAAAGTGAAAAAATAATGAAATCCATTAAGTTCACGATCGCAATTTCATTTCCGATTTAGTTCTAAACACACACTGGTGCGCACTAGTTGGCCAGTCGATTTGAAGGGAAAAAAATTAACGAGTTCCACTATCTAAAGTCACAAACAACATGGTGGTGTTGAGCAAACTTTTCAAGGATGGCCTTGAAAAGGGTCTGCAATGCAGTGACTTAACTCACAGTGGTTCCTGCAAACAGAATGTGACACTCAACACATATAAATTCTTAATATCAAATCTGAAATATTTTGCGCCTGTGATTTTTGTAAGTGTTTGTTGTTGTTGTTATTTTTAAGAAATGTGCTAATTTATGCAATAAAAAATTGTGTAACTTTCAGTTACCGCTACTGGTGCACCTACGTTCGCTCAACAAAAAAATGCTCAAGGACACATTTCAATATTACATCGGCGCGGTGGCGGCAGGCACGACCACTGGTTGGTGCATAATGGCCATGATATGCCTTTTACGGTTAGTTTGCAAGCAGGAAGTTTTTAGTTTTTTATTTTAAAAAATTTAACAAAAATTAAACTTGAATTTGCAGTCATGTCTTTGGTAAATTCGGCTACTACACCACCGCATTCCTGCCCTCTTTAATAGGCAGCTTTGCCACATGGGCCATACCAAGTCCAAAAGTTCATCGTCTATATGAGACCAGCGTATTTCAGTGTGTGAGTATTATTGCAGTTGTTGTTTCTTCAATCAACAATCAAATTTCAATTTGGCATAAATTGAAATTGGTTTACTTTTCCTCATTTTTCGTTGACATCTGTTCCGATTCGATTAAGTGGATTAAGTTAAAGTCCAACTATACGAGTATATCATATTTTTACTAAATCTTCAACCGCGCAATGCTTTAAAAAATCATTTCATAACCTCAACACCCAAATAAGATCGACTTTTGACAAAGTGTTTACCGGCCGCTTTAGTCAAGTGTGCAGAGCGATGAGTTTGAACCCTGACTAGACCAATGCGGTTGCTCCTCGGCAGGGAATGTAAATTCTTAGGAGTGTAAATCTGACAGATATTCACCATATAACCTTGGAAAAGACTACCTCTTGGTAGATTTGATAGCATCAAAAGGAGCTCACTCTATGCCGCCGTGCCTGGATTTCGTATCCCAGCCAATTTATACAGCAGTGTTAACTGACTTTAAGTAACACCTCTCCGAGCCGTTCGATACCAAACGAGGTTTTAGACAGTCTCACTCCTTATCGTGCATAAAGAAGGTACAATCTTCTATAAGCGCGTACAGATACTGGCGTACGTCCTTAAATCCAATGCCCAGGTGCTACTTCGGACTGAGTAGGTAATTGAAAAGCAAAGTCTTTTTCGACAAACGAACTCTACAAGTTAGTCTTCATCCCGGCACGGGCAATCAAAATTTGAGCTAGGTGTGAGATATCGTAACTTCTTATGTCTATATTGACTATTTGACTAGTATTATACATATTTTGGTATGAATTCCGCCGTTGTCGTTTTCAAAGAACCGCCCGAACAAAGTTCTCACCAGACAGTAAGTTTTTTTTTTTTTTTTGGTGTTATGGCCTCACTTCAATTACTTAAGGATTCTCGGAGCACCGTAGGCGACATTTCTACTTATTTACGGGTCTATTGAGTAAGAAATGTACCTCGTCGGTGAGGAAAATTATGTTTGAACTGCTTGGGGTTCAAGCAGCCAATTGACGTAGGTACGGCGTTGTGACTGGTCAACTGGGTTCAGTTGTTGTGTGAACTTGATTTTTTATGGATAAGGTGCAATGTGACGTAAGAAAATGCTATCTCTTGAAAACGTCGAGAAATATACATATTCGGGTTTTCGGTTACACTTACAGCAGCGATATTTGAGATGGAACAGTGGTCTGCTTTAGAGGCTTCAAGACATGAATATCTTTTTTTTAAACCTATCTAAAACTTTCGAAAAATATGTCTTCAAAATTTTGGTGGCCAATTCAATATATTTTAGGAGCCGAGTGATCTAAAGTTTATTTGAACTAAAAAAGTTAACCAAAAAAAGTGAATTTTTTTTTTCAAACTTCAAAAAAATTTGGAATTTTCCAACTCCTTCCTTATTTTTTAGTTCATATTGAAGAGACACTCATAAAAATTAGAATAAAAATTGGTTCGGCTGTTTCAGAGCATTGCACGATTTCCATAACCGCCAAGTTCAGGTCGCAACCGCTTCAGAGAACTCATCACAATATTGGAAAATTCCATCAAATGTTTAGATACTCAAAATGGTTTTTGAAGCATAATATACATATTTATGTATGTATTGGAGCCCTGAAAATTTCGTTTTCCGTAAAAATTTAAAAAAAAAATGTTGAAAAAACGCTTTTTTCGGTTTCTCTCCGCCTTAAGCCACAAAACGTGGTCACGCGCGTTGTGCTGTTATTAAGCGATCTATTTTCAAAAATGCCTGACTTTTAACTTAAAATAACACGTTTGGTTTTACATTTGAGTTTGACAGATGGCATAATACAGCCCTGTAGCAAGGCAAATTCACACACGGTAGCAGCAAAAATACTTTGTTTGTGTAATCATAGTTTTGAAAAGTCAAAAATGAAAATCGTTCAATGTATTTTTTTTGTGTAATTTTTTGAAATGGAAGGAATTACAAGCAATCATAAGATGTGACAACTTCACCTTCTGTAAATTCGCCTTGCCCTGTATCAAGGTTTACAGAATAGAAGGTTACGACAAGAGCAAGATCATATGTTTAATGAGGAAGTTGGTTCAATTTTGTGGGTTGCCGGAAATTTTAAAATAAATTTGCATAATTTTACTTATGAAACAGCTGCCATTTTGGCTGTAAAGCTTTAAAGCTGTGTATGGTAATTTTTTTAAATTAATAACAATTACAATAAAAATATCCTGAATAGTTTTATGACGAATAAATGTATTTTAAATTCTCAAAAATTATAAATTAAGAAATTGATAGGATTTTTTAACAAATATTTTTATAGTTAGCAACTCTAGTTTTTGATGACATGAATAAAGTCAAACACGTTAAAAATTATCGAAATTCCAAACGAACGCGCGTTATTATAAAATATTTAATATAAATACTAATTTTCTCATCCTTTCTTTATCAGCTGATTTGCTTTGGGAAATAAGTGATGCTAATCATGAGAAAAAATCGTGTTTAAAAATTCGAAGCGGTGAAAAAGTATACAGTTGTGAGTGATTCATATTAATATATTTTGAAAAATTAAAACTAAGATGCGATGTTTGTATAATTTTTTGAACTGAAAACTTGAAATTTTGGTACTAAGAAAATCAGATAGTTAAGGGGGCACACCTAGTGTAATGGCCTAAAAAATAGTTGATTTTTGAGAATTTTTATTAAAAAAAAATACTTTATCAATTATTTCAAAATTTTTAAAAATATATTTATGCATGGTTCAAGAATATACAGTGAAATTTTTGAAGAAAAAAATTAAATATCTTTTAAGTTACAGTCGATCTCCAACGGCGCGAAAAAAGATCCTTCACTGCTGCAGTGAAATCTAAAAAAAAAAAATTCTCTGCTAGATAATATTATATTGTTTGTACATTGACCTACGAGAAGAAAGAATCAAAAATTGACCATATGGCGGCGTTTTAAAAAAAGTAATCGAATTTTACCCAAAATTTTGGACGTTTTTGGCCTACCAAAATTAGATTTTTTGATCAGATCAAAAATCGATGTGTCATTGTACGGAGAATTATATATAGAACATGTAAAAAAATCGATAGTAATCGGTTTTTTTGTTTTTGAGTTTGAGTTGAGCAAATTCGGAAAATGCTGGTTCGAGAAAAACGCGTTTAAAGTAAAATGATCGTTTTCACTCGTAGCTAATGAGACTCTCTAGCTGCCGAGCGGCTGCTCTTTAAATTGCTATAACACGAAAACTATTTGAGATATCGATTTGAAATTTTAATAAGTTATTTTTAAAGGTGTAAACTACCGAAATATGAAAAACATTATTATTATTATTATTATTTGAAATTTCACGCTAGGTGTGCCCCTTAAATATTCAAATGATATAATGTAAGACGAAAATATTATATTATTTACCTTTGTGTAAGACTGTTAATCACATTTGGTGGCCTACCGCCACAAGTAAAAAATAGGCTACGCCTTGCACATTGTACATAGTATAAAATCGCCAAATCTGCGTCTGTGGTGGCATTTCCAAAAAAAAAATGTGTTTTCTTATGTATATGAAAATTCTTGCTATAACTATTTTATTGACATCACATACATATATATTGTTTGAATGAACAAAATACTTTTTTGATAATATATTTAGCAAGTTTCGCCCACTGTACTCGTATATATGACGAAGTTAGTTCCGCGACGTCAACGGCATAATGAAATAATCATTACGTCATTAATTTTTTTTTAATTGTTCACTATATTCTCTACAATACATATATCATTGGTCAACCAAATAAGATTCAGAAGTGTTAAAAAATTTAATCGGCATTTTTTCATTATAACAGAACATCAACAACAACAACATTAAGAGTTAGAGTGGTGCAACAAAGTATTTTATTTGTAAAGCAATGTAATTATTGAAGTAACTGTCGTATGTATTTATGTAAGTTAAATATAGGTAGAAACGCACTCTTAATATATGTATGTACATATGTATGCATAATTAGCTTTCACCACATGGTGATCGTATTTTCTGTATTAAAAATATGAGGTTAACAAACTTGGGATGTTTATTCTAATCACTGAGAATTTATTAAAAATTCCACGAACGAGACTTTGAGATCTCAAATATTTATATAATAGCTAACCCCAAGTAAGTAAGTAAGTAAGCCGAACAGCTAAGTTTAATAAGTTTTACACAACACTAGAAACTTTAGTTATAGAATTCAACCCAACTTAGACCAGGCGTGTCGTCTATCCGCATCGCTATTTGCACCTAAACCAGTTGCGCAATTTGTATTGTAACACGCAGCTCACATTCTACCATTTTTCTGACATTTCCTCTTTATCTTCCATTCATTTATTAAGGGGGGAGGGGGACCTGGTTTAAAACGCTGAAAATTGCATGATAATCAGCACAGTGTTTTAGGTTGCCTTACGTATGAAATGTTTCATACATACACAAATCAGGCAAAAAAAAATTTACTTTCACTTTATTTGATACTGTTAAGCAATAACAATTCGTATTTGTTTGAGGCACTTCTCGCTCGAAGAGTCTATTTTGTGAACACGATAGCGATCGTAGTTTTCATCTGAAACATAATAACGAATACTTTTTTTTATAGCTTAGGAGTTGATCTTCTATGTGAACCTAAGATATTCGAAAAAATGTATAAAATTATTTATTTTATGACTGTTTATAAAAAATTTTGCGTTTTTCTAAAGAAATTTTAAGATAATTTGTTGAAAAGAGTTAATAATAAAAGTAAAAAAAATTTTTTATTGTGATTTTTTAGGTTCGCATAGAAGCCTACACTATTAGCTGTAAAAAAGGTATCACTTATGAAAATGCGAAAATTACAACTTTCTTAATCGTGTGCACAAAACAGAAAAACACTGTTTTGGGAAAATCGCGTTCAAAGTTCTCGCGGCCGCTTATCAGTCTCCTGAGCGCATTGTCTCTCAGAGGCCATTTCTGCGGAACGATTAGAAATTTGACTCAGAAATTTTGTAAAAATATTTCTGACTATATTTCTAGTCGAATGAGATAAGTTTCAAAAAATCGATTTTTTGACCCTCTAGACCAGGTTCCCCACTTAAGGAATATACTCATTACTTACATTCACTTATCCTTGGGACCAAATCGGAAATTTATATACATATTTTGAGAAGATTAACCTTTGATAACAATTACTTTTATAGAGTTTCCATTATGAAATTTCTTTGTATACCTTTCATGTACGTGAAATGTACGTGAAAGTACCAGATGGAGAATAGATAGATTCATCAGAGTATATACCGATCGGGGTAGGAGAACGAGCTACTTAGCCATGTCCGTCTGTTTGCCCGCAAACAAGTCTCTCGGTTTCTGAGTTATTTCAATTGAAGTTGATGCAAAGATACACTGGCAAATGTACATAATACTGTGGCGGAGCCGGCCAAATCGGACCACTAAAACAGTTTTTATTTAAGATTTAGGTCATAAATTTGTGAAAAAAGCATCTAAAAGCATGAAATTTGGTATTTTGTTATTTCTTTTTTTACTTTATTTCTTGCCAAAAGTGATTCGGCATTGGATTTCATGCCTGACATTGTTGTCGGTTTGATTACTAGTTCCAAAATAGACGAAATTAGCTACGACTTCATAGTTATATTACGTGGAAGCCGAGTCAAAAATGCGAGATATGACGTAATGATTATTTCATTATACCGTTGACGTCACGGAACTAACTTCGTCACATATACGAGTACAGTGGGCGAGTCTTGCTAAATATATTATCAGAAAAGTATTTAGTTCCTTCAAAAAAATATATATGTATGTGATGTCAATAAAATAGTTATAGCAAGAATTTTCTTATACATAAGAAAACACATATAAATTTTTTTTGGAAATGCCACCACAGACGCAGATTTGGCGAGTTTTTGCTATGTACAAAATGCAGGGCGTAGCCTGTTTTTTACTTGTGGCCGAAGGCCACCAAATGTGAATAACAGTCTTACACAAAGGTAAGTAATATAATATTTTCGTCTTACATTATATCATTTGAATATTTAAGGGGCACACCTAGTGAGGAATTTCAAAAAAAAAAAAAAACGACCTTTTCTTCGTATTTCGGTAGATTACACCTTTAAAAATAATTTATTAAAATTTCAAATCGATATCTCAAATATTTTTTGGGTTATAGAAATTTTAAGAGCAGCCGCTCGGCAGTTAGAGAGTTTCATTAGCTACGAGTGAAAACGATCATTTTATCTTTAAACGCGTTTTTCTCGAAACAGCATTTTCCGAATTTGCTCAACTCAAGCTCAAAAACAAATGATCCGATCACTATCGATTTTTATCTTGCCCTCCTTCAATAGCAGACACGTACGCTTCGCTTCCTTATCCAATCTGGAAAAACCAGAGCTGACGGCACGTTAGTTGATCCAATAAGGTCAATATCAACGGCATACGCCAGCAGCTGCAAACTCTTATAAAATATTCTCGCATCTCTATTCAACTCTGAAACACATATTATTTTCTCCAGCAAAAGATTCAAAGCATTAGACGATAAGGAGTCACCTTTTCTGAAATCTAATTTCGTATGGAAGAGCTCGAAGTTTGCTTTCCGATCCTGATGAAGCCGTTGGTGTTACTTAGTGTCAGCTAACACCGCCGCATATATAAGGTTGTCAAATATCCCTTCCGCTTTTTTGCTCTTCATTCAATGCTTTGTAAAAAGTTTTGCAGTGATCGGATTTAGTTAAAATATGCGCCGTTTTGTTCGATGATCTGTTTCCATCTAGACGGCAACTTCATAATACCTTCCTCGTAGAAGTTCCCCTCCTTATTTACGAAGAATTCCAGTTGCGGTCCAGTTGTTCGCAGTAGATGGTAGAATTAAACGTCTGGCCATATGGGAGCAGCTCATAGTGGATGATTCCCTTCCAATCCCACCAAACACACAGCAAAACCTTCCTGGCCGTCAATCCCGGCTTGGCCACTGTTTGGGACGATTCACCGGCCTTCGACCACGACCGTTTTCGCTTGATATTGTCGTATGTGATCCATTTTTCGTCGCCAGTCACCATCCGCTTCAAGAATGGGTCGAGTTCGTTCCGTTTCAGCAGCATATCGCAGGCGTTGATTCGGTCCAGAAGGTTTTTTTGCGTCAAATTATGCGGCACCCAAACATCAAACTTTTTTTTGTATCCAGCCTTCTGCAGATGGTTCAAAATGGTTTGGTGACTAACTCCCATCTCCTGGGCGATGTCACGAGATGCCATATGCCGGTCTAACTCGATGTATTCCATGATTTGATCGGTATTTGTCGTCACAGGTCTTCCGCCGGCTGGCTTATCCATGGTGTCGTTTTCACCGGCTCTGAATCGTCGAAACCATTCCTCCGCGGTTCGAAGTGATAGAGTACCATCCCCCAAAACACCATTAATCTCACGGAACGTTTCTCTAGCGGATTTGCCTTTAACGAAGGAAAACTTTAAAATAGCGCGAATTTCGGCGTTAGTGAACTCCATGTTTACACGTCTATAACTGTTGAACGGAATATCCAAACTAATCATGCATAGCTGTTTGTTTTGTAGGTTATGTCAAGACCTTTCAAATTATGTATAGTGTATATATACGATATATAGCGCTTTGTACATAGCCGCGAAATTCAAAAGACCAAAAAGCGGAAGGGAGATATTTGACAACCTTATATTTTGCCGGGATAACAAATTCAGACATAGCGACGTAGAGGCAGCGCCTTTTTGTGCTGTCGAAAGTGGTTTTAAACTATAAGAACATAAGCCGATCTTCTTCTCTCTGGTATTTTTCAAGATTGGACGCATCTTGAATATCTGATTAATGATTAATCACGGCTTTAATCTTTTACTCAAAAAGTTCGATAAGAACTTATATGCGATATTAAAGAAGCTTAGCGCACTGTTATTGGCGCTGACTGTCCTTCTTATGAAGTGGGCAGCGCATAATTAGATTCCAAACGGCATCAGTCGCTAGATCGTCTCTTTTTGTACTACAAGTAATTTCTCCGGTCTTGAAACTTTCTGTAACCCGCTGCATCGGTTTGTATGGGATTTATTGTAACTTAAGTCCAATCTGTATCCATATCAAGGTAAAGCTTTATATGAAAAAATCGTAAATATATTTCACTGACTCTCATGACAGACAACTATGCATGTATGTACTCGTATTAGATTCAAAATCAAAATCAGCGAAAATAAATAATTAAAATGTATTCCAAATAAGTTTAAAATTCTTACTTTTCCAGACCATCGAATCGTTCATTCTTCAAAGAAAAACTATGCTCACCAAATTAATCGCTGAATCCAAACTCCTGCGCACATTTATATTTATGTGTTGTAGTAGCTTAATAATGAATGCAAAGCAAGAAAAATCGTACAGAGGATTTTGGTTACTGCAACCCACACCAACGACCACGCTGGTTCATCCCAAAAACCAAGCTGCATTAAATGAGGAGGCGGAGGAAGAAAGTGTTCACCTCCTCAAGCCATGCAGTCACAAAATCAGTTCGTGTGTGAGATACGCTCTGCAAGGTGCAAAAACTTATTTCATTTTGGGACTGACACTGGATTTGATTAAAATGTTGATGAGTAAGGTGGCGACAAGTGAAAAGGGCTTCATGACCAAACTACTCGCCAAGACTGGTAACTTCAAAATACATTCCTGTGCGCTGTTAACTACTTATGTAACATTTTACAGAGTGAGTAGCGATTTCTTTAATTACACATATAATATATATGTATGTATATATATGTATTTAAATATATGCAAATACACTCTTCCAGTTGGTGCATTGCTATTTTAACCGAGTTTGTGGTGCGGATACCAAACTCAATCACACTGCGGCTGCCTTTTTAAGCGGTTCCTCATTTATTTTTTATCCAAAATTGACACTTTTCTGTTATGCTTTGGTATTGGGCATACAGATAAGTTGGCAGCATTTAGAGGTTTACTTATCTAACGAGCACGAGGATGCATTTGAATGGATAAAAAATATACCATTCAGCAAATTATTCTACTCTCTGTGCCTGGCATATTTGGTAAATACGTATTGTCTTCGCAGTCGTTATGTTAGCGGCTTAGGAGCGACGATTATTAATGGCATCACAAATAATTAGTAAGTATATATGTTTGTATGATCGTAAGTGAGAATTAAAGAAAATATTATTTAAGATTTTTCTCAATGAAATTAATTTAGAAAGCATAAGAATATTTTATTTGCACTCAAACGAACTAGTTGATAACTACCTTGAAACTAGACACTTTTTTCCATAGTGATGAGCAATAAGATGCCAACTATCAGATTTCGGTCAAAATATACCAATCTCATACTGGTTCGAAATGTAAACCAAAACTGCGTTTTTGGAAATAAATGTCGAAAATTATCTCGGAGATGAGGAAATATCATGTCTCTCGTATAATAAACATTTTTCTTCATTAGTGTGTGCACCACTTATGCTATTATTTCGCGTCATTCTTTCCTTCTCTTCGCTGTTTGGCGCCAGTTGGAAATACCAAGCGAAAACCAGGTCTTCTCCTGCTCCTTCCTCTTCTTCTGCCATCTGGTACTGCATCGAATACTTTTAAAGCTGGAGCGGGTTAATTTATATTCAGACCACAATCTTAGCCGGCGTTTCCGCTGTCTTTTGGACAGGGTTATGTGAAGTCGTTCATCTACCTATCCCGAGATTATTGCTGGCGAACGGCAACAATTGTTGCAAAAAGTTATGAAAAATTTGGCTTTTTGGCTGAAATTTCATTCGAGCCAGCCGCGGCGAAATCATTTTCACAATAACAAATACAATACAATAAATAAAGAAACTCGAATATGAAGAGTTCGAGAAACTGGCTCACAAGAGCAATGCTCGCAAATTCGATGACAAGATACTGCGACTTACAGAGGTTTACATGATTAGAGCAAACTCCTATAGGACCCACAGAGGTGATCTAGTGATTAACGCCCAGAGTGTTCTGAATATAATGGATTCCTTTTGCAGCATGCTGAATGGCGTTTGAAGTGTAATACCGGAGAGTGCGAACCTGTACAAGTCCTTCATCACCCGCCTATGAAAAAGATTGCTATTTGCACTTTGAAAAACAACAAAGCGGAGTGAACCAATGGATTTCCAGTGGAGCTAAGCTGAAAGTATGCTCTACAATCTAAGTGGACTCTGCCCAATCCTTAAAGCTAATTGGACCTTATACGCTTTAGACCTGCTAAATCAGCCATTTGCCTAGATATTCACCGTCCGCTAAATTTTAGAAAAGACTCGTGAAAAGAAGATTGACACACATCGCCTCTTCTTCATTTTTAAAGCCGCTTTCGACAGCATGAAAAATAGCATCCTCTACGCCTTTATGTCTGAATTTTGTATCGCTCTCCGAGCAGTTCGATACGAGCCGACGTTTCAGAAGAGGTGACTCCTTATCGACCATTGGCCTCAACAGCTGCGACGTAAGCTCTGCTTTCTTCAGACTGCATATGAAAGAAAGGGGCATGGGTCTGGTAGTAAATAAGGATTAAAAGAAGTATCTACTGTAATCAAAGAGACAGTAGTCACTTTTGCGACTCCGTCCCCGCATTACTGTTGACTGTCATAACTTGGAAGTCGTAGCTAATTTCGTCTTTCTTTGATCCAGTATAAACACCAATAACAGTGTCAGGCATGAAATCCAACGCAGAATCAATCTTGTCATCAAATGCTATATCATACGGAGTAGGCAATTAAAAAATATAATCCTACCTTGCCAAACAAAGACAAAACTCTACAAGTTGCTCACCATTCCAGCCCAGCTTATGCGGCGGAGGAATGGACGATGGAAAAAACGAATGAAACAACGTTAGGAGTTTTCGAAGGAAAAGTTTTGCGTTTTGGTTCCGCAAATCAAGAGGCAGTGGCTACGCTGGCTAGATCATTTGGTCCGGATAGATAAGAACACTTCAGCTTTGAAAGTTTCCGATGCAGTATCCCCATGTGCAAGCAGAGGAAGGATAGGACCTCCACTCTGATGGAACGGTAGAGAAGGACTTGGCTGTACTTGGTATTTCTAATTGGCGTGCTGTTTTTAACTCGGCCATAGAAGAAGGGCAAACCGTGATCTTTATAATAAAGGTGAATTCTTTGCCATTATATTACATTTTTTGCATTTCATTTCTACTGGGAAACCATACACCTAATGCCCATTCGTTGAATAAACATCCAGACGCCCATCAGAAAATAAATAACGTAAAAAATCGAATTAGAAATCTTTTTAAAAATAGCCATGCCGGCCCAGTCTTGTGCAAAACTAGCAAAAAAATATTTTAAAAATTAAATAAAAACTTAAATATTTATATAAACGTGTAAAGATTTCGAATAAAACTAATAACAGTTAGTAATGATGATATGAATTAATAACAGTAGTTTTGTAAATTTTTCTATTCTAATATCATTTCTTAGGTGGAATTCTAGTAGTAAACTGGTATTTTTTCTCATTCATTTGTCGTTTGACTGCAGGGTATGGGGTATGTGTAAACAAACAAACGTACATATATATTTAACCGCTGATAAGCAAATAAATGTATTGTTTACTAAAGCACAGGTGATTGTGCGAAATTTTATTTATAGTTAAATTTAGTATTGCATTAAGCTCAACATGATATTAGTATGCATATTAATTTTGCTTTTATTTGTTTTTTTTTTCTTTTTTGCATTTTACTCACTTTGTTTCAGCGCGAAGACAATAAATGGAAATATTGAAAGAATTGAGCAACAGTTGGCCAGCCGTTCACCTAGTTTGTAAACTTGTTTAGAGAGAATGATAAACGAAAAATTTATTAATGGAGTAATTATAATAAATGTGTATACATCTATATATATATAATGTATTTTTTTTATAAAATTTAATTTCACACTGTTTTCAACCAGACTCCTCCGAAACGGCTTGACTGATACTATAAATTTCTGTATATATATATATATCTATATATATATTCAAGCAAGTCTGAAAATAGGATTTAAACTATATTTGACAGCGGTAAGTAGACCAATCACTGACCTGTTCGAAAATGTCGTATTTGTTGTTCGATTTACTTTGAAGTTCATTTTTTGCTCAGATCCGGGAAGTGAGCCAGGAATCGATCGACCTATGCGAAAATATCGTATTTTTACTTGAATTTTTTTTTTTCAGAAAATAGGCAAATTAAAAAAAATATAAATATATATAAAAATATATGTATATGCTTCGATTTGATTTAGTTTTTCAAAGCTATGACTAAGTCGAGCACATTTGCTTCGTTGAAATGGACCAGCTGGGGAGGGCTTCACCGACAGATTGACAAAAATTCGTCCGATTTGAGTATAAGATACGTTTAACTTCATTCTGAATAAGCACAGATCCGAATGAAGAGTTTGGCTTACGTCGAAGCCTTCATATTGATATTTATGTAAAAGACTTTGAAAGACTAAGAAGTAAAACAAACATACAAATACCTGAATATCTACTAGAACGAACGATAATAGTTCGTTCGGAGACCTGATGGGCAGTAACAATTATTACTAAATCTTACTGAATCGCTTTCGGTGATTCAAAAAATCATTAAAATTAGTAACGAAAGCGCGCTATTTCGACGTTTCTTTTGGAGAGAAAGTTGAAAATTCGTGTTGAAATTTCAACCTGTAAAAGCAGCATATGTAAAAACCAGCTGATCATCATGGTTGCATTTTTGTCGTCCATAAAACAAAGCTAGAAAATGAAAATAATAGTACAACAATAATATGATTCTTACCGGCTTGCACGGAAAAAGAATTCCAAACCCATTTTCATATTTCAATCATACTTCCTGAGAATCTAAGCGCCAAATTTTTGCATTACAATCAATTTTGAATGCAATTAATAAATTGTTAATTTAATATAATTGACAATTTTAATAAAATACTTTAAAGCAGAACGCAATAAATTGTATAACGCTGGCTAAGTTTTACTGAATCCTATTCGCTATTTCACTCTTTGAGAGATTAAAACATTTTACTCTCTCAATTTCATTATTAGCTAATTCTTACTGACATTTCTCACCGTACAAAACTAATATTCAACAAAAGCTCTGTTCGATGAGAATGTCAGTATGGATTAGCCAGCAACGAAATGTCAAAATGGCGGTCTATCGGTGCAAAATTATTGGCTTTTTGGCTCACCGAACGCGGTTAAGTGAAAAATTATTACTCACCCTCCAGGTCAACGAACAGAGTTATTACAAGAAAAGAAACTTAATAGTAGGTCAAGTAAAAAGTACGTTCGATTTTGGAGTGGAAACAGATCGTAACGTGAGCTTTTATTTAATTGCTGAGGAACTAAAGATAAACCAGAAAACCGTTTGGATTCAAAAAGAAGCTCGATGTTTGCGTGCCACACGAACTAACGCAAAAAAATATGATGGACCAAATTTCCATCTGCTAATCGCTGCTGAATTGCAACAAAATCAACCCTTTTCTGAATGGGTCACTTACGACAACATCGAGCGCAAACGGGCGTTGTCAGAGTTCGGGGAAGCGGCCCAGACGGTGGTCAAGACCGGAAGGTTTTGTTGTGTGCTTGTTGGGATTGGCAAGGAATCATCTACTACTAGCTGCTCCGCTATGACCAAACGCTCGATTCGGCTCTCTACAGCCAACAACTGGACCGCATGAAGGCAGCACTCAACCAGAAGAAGACATCTTTGATCAACTGAGGACGAATTGTGTTCCATCAGAACAACGCCAGACCACAAACGTCTTTGGTGACGCGCCGAGTGATTACCATCTTTTCCTGTCCAGGGCGAACGTGCTTAATGGTGAGAAGTTGACCTCAAGAGAGGCCTATTAAAACTGGCTGTCCGAGTTTTTTGCTAATAGGGACGCAGCCTTCTGCGAGAGGAATATAATGAAGTTGGCATCTCGTTGACAACAAGTTTACGAACAAAACGGCACATATTTGATGTACACAAAATTATCATATTTTGAAAAATCAATAAAAAAAATCGAACGAACTTTTTACTTGACCTAATATTAAATTCTTAAATATTTTACAATTAATTTATTACAAGTTAAAAAAATAGTTATAAAAAGAGTTTAATCCTGAAAGAAAAAAATTTAATTTAAGATATAAATTTAAAAAAAAATTTTAACTCCTTATTGGGACATTCTCTACCATTTCATTTGGAATAAGACATTGAAGTGAGTGATTTTCAATAATTCTCAATCAAAAAAGTGGTAAAAGGAGCATTAAAATGGGTTTACACGAAGGTTGCTGCCTAAGATTTGTTATGTGGCCATAAAAAAAAATTAAGTAAAACTCGACTCGGCGCAGTTTTTTTTATGCGATGGCAACTTTAAAGAAAAAATTTCGTTTGCCCACAAATTATTTGGTCACATTTAGCAGCTCTCCGAAAGCTTAAATGAGAAATACCGTTGAAATCAGATAGATTATTTAACGTTAACGTTAATATATTTATGAATAGAACTCGTATTTTAATTAATTTGCGTTCACAACACGAGTAATGACACTGTAATGCATTATTCAACTGAGCCCTATCGTCATAGTCAAATATGCTAATGATTTATGCATTTACAATTGCCAAACACGTGCCTTCAATCAAAATTAAACGCGACTTTAAGAATTTCCTTATTTCTATGGTATTTATTTCAAATGCAACGAGTACATATCGCGGTCGTATTTACAAAATATTAATTTCATTTAAACACCAATTACACATTGCTAGATTTTATAAGTAAATTATGTAAATATGTAAATGTTTCTTTAGCGGCAAAGAGAAAAACTTGAAATATATTTTAAACCTGAAAAAGCTTTACAGAAGTTATCGCCAAACGTTCTGAGCCGAATTAAAGCTTCTTGTATTTATCATGTGTTTTTTTTTTCTCCAAAAATGCATGCCTCTCATTGAGTGTATTCCCGCACGCGCTAGAATTTGTATGTATTTGCAAGAATTTGAAAAACTCTGCCATTAAGTATTTTCATATTGACAGTTGGATGCAGAAGTGAGCATGAACAAAACGAAAAGAAAACGAACCGAATAATTTTATTTCCGAATTAAAAAAAAAAACGTAATTCTTAGGACAAAAATACACCTTTATTCGAGCATGCACGCGACACAGCTAAAGATTTTCATAAGCTCTGTTCGGTGATAAATCTCAGTAAGAATTAGCCAGCAACAAAATGTCAAAATTGCGGTCTCTCGGAGCAAATTTTACAGAGTTTTTGTAGTAAAAATTGAAAATAATTGATACTAACCAGCAGTTCGCTGAACACACTAATTATGTTAAGCTTAAACAGTTTTATAAATATTTCTTCTGACTAAATAAATGTCTTCGCCTTTACAATTTTTTTATAAAAAGAGAAAACACTGACAAATCCATTACGAAAAAATGAGAAAGATTTCGCAGGAACTGGCAGTAGAAAGCTATTGATTCGACAACTACATAGATGACACAGTCGCCATCTTAAAAAAAAAAAAAAAAAAAAATTATAGGTTTTTGCCACTGCATATTTGCTTACATTCCGAAAATTTATAAAAATAATTTTTTTAAACTATTTGTTCGTAGCTTCAATTTTTATTTATTTTTATTTTAAATTTTTTTTGGTATACCCTTTAACTATTGTTACAGTTCTTTGTTTTAAATTTTTTTCCAAAAAATCATTTCCCCTACTACTACTCTGCCGCTGAAGTGAATTTTTGAGTTTTCCCATAAGAGGTGTTATTTTGAATAGCCCGCTATTTCGGTGGATGTCACTTTTGAAGCTGCAATTTTTTGACATTTGGCAAGTAAAAACTTCGTCAGTAATAAGAATGTAAAAATACACGCTTCAACGGCGCGCTGATATTTATAAAATTAACTATGAAAATTTTATCGAAAAATTTGATTTGAAGTTTAAAAGCCTCTCCATCTTCAAAGTGTAACAATTTGCTGCGGCTTATGGTCCGGCGGGGTCATTGGACCTTACTCTATGGAAAATGATTGGATTGCGTTATCTAGTGATTTTTTATTGTCGGAATTGGTTGGTATTGATCTGGATAACGTTTACCCTCATCGTGTCAAGCAACGAAACCATCGATCTTTTAAGGGAAAAATTTCAGTGCATATAAAAAAAACACCTCTTATTAGGAGACCCTTGACATTTCTACAGCTTTCTGCTAAAAAAAAAAATCAACTACTTTATAGATTCGCAATCGCTACAGCATATCTACATATATACATACATATATGACTCATTGATTAAATAATGAATTTTGATACCTCTATATTTTTATTTGTTTATATTTTATACTGTCATTTGTTAACCCGCCCCTAGCGCTTACATACCTACGAGTTTGTAGGGTGTCATTAATATCGTTATGGCTCGCAATTTGAGCTAATAGATTCCATGGGAGCATTGAAGTACTACTCATGCATACTGACATACATACATACACACTCATCTATACATAGATATGACTGACCTTCGGCTTGCAACTAGCTTACTTATGTGACGCTTTGACGCTTGCATTAGCCAACGAGCAAGACCATAAACTCAATCAGTTCCTTTCCGTACACATAGCGCGTCTGTTGGACTTGGCCGAAAATTGCAAAAAATTCAAAATTCAAAAATTTTTAAAAATTTATAAATAAAAATACTATACATATATGCAATATGGTGGCATTTAGTAAACTCTTTCATCCGCCACATAATTCTTTGCCATGTTCAGAATTGTTATTACATCAAGGTCAAACGTGTAAGCAACTTATCTGGTGGAATTGGTATCGTTGCTCAGTGGGCAGTTTGAGATATTTTCTGCCATTAGCTATTGTAAGTGATTGTCGCGATGTCACGATGTGTGCATTTAAATTGTTTATGTTGCTGTGAAACTCTAACTAAATCTTGACGGTTTACAGTCACCACTTGTTCTTAGACCGAAAAGTTTAAATACGCAAGCGCTTTTGAATATTCTACGCCACTATTTGGAAACATCGTTATGGGGTGCAGCGGCAACTGCCTTCACTTTTAACGGCATCTGTTTACTAAGGTATGTAAGTGCTCATAATATTATACATATGTGCATATACATATATGTAAGTAGTGTGAGTGAATTCAAATATATACTCGTATACTCGTACGTTAACTTGAAGAAATCTGCTGGGGAGATACTACTTATATACAGCCACCTGTTTGCCGGCATACACAGCGTTTCAGTTGAGTTGGTTCTTTCCAGTACGCACCGTGCGACTCTTTAGCACTGCAACAACACAATCGGTAAGTTTTTTTTGAATTGTTCAGTTCATAATTCATATAATTATACAATGGTGCTCACATAATTTTGTTTAGTTGAATGAAATTAACAGTTTTCCAAAAAAATTATTCGAATACGTGGGTTGCTCTTTAAATTTTGTAGTATAAATTTGCAAGTTTATATGACAAATTTGACTTCCCCAAAGTAAATCTGAATCTGAAATATGATAGTTTTTATAACTTTCCTATGTCTTTATTTTGACCGGTTAGCAATTCATACTCTTGTGCAAAAGGACACGGGCTCGAATACTGCCCAGACCAATATTTAAAATTATAAACAATTAATTTTAAATTAATTTTAATTAAGGTGACCGTACTCGAATGTATTTAAAAAAAAATTATTTTTATGTTGCTTGGACCAGCACTCGAACCCTGGTCTTCCAAATGGCAGTGCGTACTGCTAATAACCCAGCTATTACCGTCCTAAACAGTTATGCACATTTATAAGACCACAAAGTTTTGGTTCACCTTAACACATGAATTCGTTACGGACGGGGTATAAAGCATATTATTTTATGCGTTTTGAGGCGTTTGCGCGAAAACATCCGTCGCAAACGGCCGGTATTGTGGGCCAACAATTGAGTGTCTGATGCAAATCCCGTGCGACAAAGTTAATTTAAATAAAAAATTATGTTAAATTTTCTAATTGCGGTCGCCCCTCTGCAGGGAATGTCAACCCCTCCGAGTGTATTTCTGATACAAAATAAAGCTGCTCAGACGTCCGGAGACGGCTTAGTTTAAACTGTTGGTCCCTCCATTTGTTGGAAAAACAACAAGACGCAAAACCACAAGTTGGAGGAGGAGCTCAGCCGAAAAATCGCTTCCGCGGTTACAAAGCGCCGATTGAATATATATAATGTGCCATCGCACCAAGCTGTAGTTGTAAACGATTTTAAGGCCAAAAACTCGTTTAATACCATCGAACAACCACCGGATTCACCGAATATGGCCCCATGCGACTTTTATTGTTTTCAAAACTCAAGTTACTACGCCGTGAAAAACCTTTCGACCGTAAAAGAATATTCGCAGAGGGAACTGAAGGCGATCCCGAAAAGCGCCTACAAGGCCTGTTTCGCTTCAGAAGAAGCATACTTTGAAGGCAATTAAATAAATTTTGCCGAAGATTAAATATTTTTCGTTTTATTTACAATTTCCGAAAACTTTTTGGTCTTTCTGGTCAGTATAATATCTTTCTGTGTTCGTAATATCGATACCTAGTGTAGCGATACCTTTCACGACACCGCTGGCTCAAAGTTTGGCAGTTTCCTCTTACTCTCTGTAATATTGCAATCAATATTTTTTTCATCTTTCTCTTTTCAATGGTATTAAGTTTTTGAGAACTTTCTACGCAAAATGCTCATCGAGATCAACTTCTGGTATTAACTCGCATAATTACTCCAAACTTTGTAAATACAAAGAAGACAACTATCTTCTGCCACGCCGATGGCTTTATACCCTTCATAACAATATCAATTTTAGGGTTTTTCGTGTTAGGAATAAATATTAATTCCCATATTCGACGATTTTCTGTGTCAATGTTTATTTGTATACATGAGTATAAATATCAAAATTCGTACACTTAGATGTTTTTTTTGTTTTTTTTTTTTTGAGAATTTTTGACCCTGAACCTGGCATTTGAACAAATCAGTTGGATGGGAGTAATATGCTTTAGTCGTCCGATTTCGATAATATTCATCTTAGACGCTTTTTTGACAAATTTATGTCTTAAAATGTCAAATCTAAAAAATACGTCATATATATGTTATAGTCGTCCGATCTGGGCGGTTAAGTGCACCAGTTCATCTATATGCCGAGCTTGGTTGAATTATAATACGAATGGCTCAAAAAAACTCAACTCGTCATTTTGAACCGGACGGCCTATCTCTTCTCCTTCCAGTACTTACATGACATGAAAGGTATAGAAATTTCAAGGGTATTCTGGTTCAGTTTTACAGCAGTAGAAAGGAACTTTCTGGTCACTTTTTAAACAAATCCCCACTCAAAGAATACAATATCTAGTATGAGGCGAGTATATAATTTTTAATCACTTGCCTGACCAGTGTCTTGCAGTTTATCTCGTCAAAAAAATCGTTCACTTTTTCACAAACATTTGGGAAGTCCTGGTGCATTTGATAATTTTCAGCATTTTCCAAAAGATTTCCGTAATCGAAGATGAAGAATATTTATTTCAATTTCCTCATCAACATCAGATTTCCAATTACCTCTATAGCAAAGCAAAGAGTTCATGCCAATTCCAATCCTTTCGGCGATGCCTGCATATTTTTCCAAAAGTTACGCCCAATTCATTGCCTTTGAGTTCTACTTTGCAAACAATGTACGAAAGCACATATCTCCATTTGGAGAGAATGGCTGCTAACATACACGTAAAAAACTTGCCTTATTTCCACGCACTATCACCCGGTGACCTCGTACGTTATCTACGAAGCCAGCCATAAATGAAATCCCGCGTTTTACAATATGCTAAATATTTTTTAATTACAGCTTCATCAAACATGATAGGACATGTAACTAGCAGTGTTGATCTATCTGCCTATCCGTCAACAGAGATATTTGTGACATGAGCTCTCTTATAAGCCTATCCTGTTTTAGAGCAATACGTTGATAAGTGTATAGTGTTGATGATCGCAATTTTCTCTTTCGGGCTGCTTGACTTGCTTATTTTCTGCCCTCGGTGTTTTGGTCAATGGTCTATTATAAAAATATTTTTTCAGTAGGTAGGCCCACTACGAAGTCTACACCAGCAACCAAGTTCAGAACAGGGAAGGGGCTTTGCAAAAGTCACTTTTCGGACAAATATCGGCTGTGCTTTCCATTATGGTTCCAACGCTTGTTTCAGCCAAAATAATTGACCAATCCTATTGAAATTTTCAGGAGTTGTTGCTGTTGATCTTATCCATGTTTATTTATTAAAATTAACACATAAATATTTATAAATTATATATAATTTGTTGTTAATAAATTTACACTTTCATCACAAATATTTACTTAGCACGTGCACTTATTTAACATACATGATGCAAAATAGTAACTTCAATCTGTTCACATGCGATTACTAAAAATTGTTGTAATTTTATTTCACTTGGTTAGCAGTAAAATATTATTTTATTTTTGTATATTATTTCGATATTGTTTTTCAATATGAATGTCCGACAATAACAATATGTGGGTGTTGCCGTACGGAATAAAAATAAAAATACAATACTGTACAGGGTTGTATTTACGCAATTATAATTTAAAAACATTTCTTATACTTCATGAAAGCAATGACATAAAATATTATGCAAGGCGAAGCCGGTGTTGGTCCGGCTAAGGGTTACAATCAAAAGCGCGGCCGAAGGCCGCTAACTTACAAAGGAGTTTCGCCTAAAAATAAACAGGGAAGACCCGTTCTTAAAAATTATAGAAGCGGTCAAATATACATATAAAGTATAAAAATTTTACTATAGTTGTTTTATTTTAGAATTTCTTTTTTATATGTGGCAACACCAAAATTCACAGTAATGACACTTTGTACAAAATAATAGGGTAAAAATTCGATTTTTTTGCTATTTTAAATGTAAATATCTCGAAAACTAAAGGTCTCCGGTAGGTTTGGTTTTCGGTTTCTGAGAGAGGGTGGAACCCCCTACCACCCCTTATAATTCGTTTTTCCCAAAGCCTGGAACCATAATGGAAAACTTTCCCCAAATATCTCTTACTAAAGTGCCTATCGCAATTATACAATTTAATATTCTTACCTATAGGAACATACCAAATTCCAAGCTATCGTCCAATCGTTCCGAAGAACTTACCTTCTTGGGAGACTTATACAGTTTTCTATCTTCTCTCGTCGAACAGTTTCCAACGAGCAGCTTTTATTCGGTTTGTTTAGCTCGAAACGACATAACGATATTGAAGATTGCTCTATTCTTTTCAAGCAATGAAGTAAGGCTAAACCAATAAAAAAAAAAATAAATTATAGAAAATTATTTTTTTCTAATTGCTGAGGGGAAAGCAGGGAATGTCAACCCCTCTGAGTGCATTTCTGACTTGAAATAAAAGCTTCTCGGAAAAATTCAGCCCAGCAGAAAATCGCTTCAGCAACTTCCGATGGCTATAAATTCAAGTGTGGTGAATCTCGTTTAAAAGTTTTTTTCAGAGATCGTTTGGAGAAGGTTCGATATGGCAAATTATTCTTTGATCATTTCACCGGTTGTAAATTGCCAATAATTTATAAAAAAAGTGCTTTATTTCTCAATCATAATATACATATGTACATATATACATAACTATTTAAAACTCAAATATTAATGAAATTCTTTACAGGCTTTGGAAACATGGTTACGCAAACAAAACAACATAATTAGCAGATCCCTGCCGTTACAAACCATCATATTTATGCTCTCCAGTGCCGTCATATTGCATTTCAAGCGACGTGAGGAGTACAATGGATTTTGGTTTATACAACCCATTAAAAATGTAGCAGCCCAAAAGAATGAAGAAAATTATGAAGATCTAAAAAAGTCAAGCAATTGTTGTACTCATGAAGGCAAAACCTGTGCTGAATATGTTTTGACCGGAATGAAAGGATACCTACTTTATGGCATACCCTTGGATTTGATGAGCATCGTAACGAAAGGGAGGCTGCCACGTACCTGGAAGGAGTTGAAAATGATCCGTTTCCAAATGACTGCTTTTTTTCTCTCCTACATCGGCATATATCGAGTAGTTCTATAGATTTGCTTTTTTTAACTCGTTGAAATTATTAAAATTTCGATCTCATTTCAGTTGTCAAACTGCGTTTTAGCTCGCTACCCTTTTGATGTTACCTATCAACATTTACTATCTGCCGGTCTAGGCGGAATTTCATATTTCTTCTTGGACAAACTTACATTCAGCGCTTTGGCTTTTGTGATAGCAGTGCAAGCAGCTTGGCAATCCTATTGCCAAAAACCCACTAAGAAGCCAGAGGATAGGCTATCATCATTTCTCAAAAGCATACCATTTGCCAAATTAATGATTCAAGTTAATATTGCCTATTTGGCACATTGCTATATTTTCCAACATGACACGATGTCCAGCTTGGCGAAGGGGTTCTTTCGTGGCATGACTGATGACAGGTAAAGTTTTTCTTTCGACACTAACACTGGAGTTAAGTCGCATGTGAACTGCCTTTTTTCTAGATTTGAACGCATTTATCAATTTTTGCTGAATTCATTGGCTGAACATGAAAAATCATAGCTGTGAGCACGTCAAGATGAGATTGAGTTTGAGTTCGATTTGTTATAAAAATATATGTATTTAATTTAATTTAAGAAATAGGTAAGAAGAGAGAGATAAGTATATGATTAAAATGTGAAAAGTAAAAAAAAAAAATGATGTTAGAAAATTACTTAGCTTACTCTGTTACTTACTTTACTGGCGTAGACACCGCTTACGCGATTATAGCTGAGTTAAAAACATTACGCCATTCGTTTCATCTTTGTGCTGTTTGGCGCCAATTGGAAAAACCAAGTACAGCCAGGTTCTTCTCTACCTGGTCTTTCCAGGTAGTGGAGGTCTTCCTATTTCTCTGCTTCCACCGACTTTCAAAGCTATAGCATTCGTATCCATCCTGACCTAGACAGCGTAGCCGCTGCTTCTTGATTCACTGAGCTATGTCAATGTTGTCGTATATCTCAGCTAATCGTTCCATAGTCTGCGGTATTCACCGTTGCCAATGCGCGAAGGACCATAAATCTTACGCAAAAACTTTCTCTCGAAAACTCCTAACGTCGACTCATCAGAATTTTGTGATCGTCCATGCTTCCGCGCCATATAGCAGGACGTTTCGAAATTATCTACGACTTCAAAGTTATGTCTGTCAACAGTGACGTGGGAGCCAAATCGCGAATGCGATGACTGCTTGTTTGATGACAGGAGATATCTTGTTCTCGTTCACTACCAGACCCATTCGTCTGGCTTCTTTATCAAGCCTGGAGAAAGCAGAACTAACGGCGCGGTTTTTCAGTCCAATTATGCCAATACCAGCAGCTCTTGAAGAAGACTGTACCTTCCCTATTCAACTTTGCAGATCTTATTATTCTCTCCAGCATCGAATTGAAGAAATCACACGACAAAGTTTGTACCAAACGGAAAGGTCCTTCCCAATTCTGACTGCGCTTCTAGTGTTTTCTAGCGTCAGCTTACACAGCCGTATAAGTTTTGCGGGGATACCGTGTTGTCGAACGCGGCTTTAAAATCAACGAAGAGGTGGGGGGTGTCGATCCTCTTTTCACGGGTATTTTGCAAGATTTGTCGCTTGGTGAATATCTGGTCATATTACTCTGTTAGCGAGTAATTAGTTTACATTTAGTGATTTTTGTCTTTTGAACGAGGCTCCCTCCCTACGTTTTTGTAGAAAAAAAACACAGAAAATTCAAATTTAATGTGAATTTTTAATTTTCATTCGAAAGACCGTTCCATCCGTTGAGTCCAAATTTGGATGCCTCGTTCGAACATTTCAGCTGGTGAATGACACGCGCGATGTTTACTCCAACTCTTGAATCAAAGCGGGGTTGTCCGCATAGACTTCAGAGTTTCGCCACAGGAAAAATCTAACGATGTGATATCACACAATGTTAGTGGCCAATCGACCGGTCTGCTCACTGAAGTGTTCTCTCAATAAATCCATTGATAGATGCGATGTGTGGAAAGTGGCGCCGTCTTGTTGGAACCAAATGTCGCCGAGACCACGAGCCTTAATTTTAGGCATCAAATAGTTGGTTATTCTGGCGCTTGAATGCTGGCCATTTAGGGTTACGTTCTCACCGGCATCGATTTTGAAGAAAATTGGACCGATGATTCAACCGTCCCACAAATCACAGCAAACCGTTGTTTTTTCTGGCTGAAATGGCAGCTCTTGAATCTCTTCTGATTGCTCTTCGTCCTAAATGCGGCAACTTTGCTTACTTACATACTCATTGAGCCAGAAATGGGCCTCATCGCTGAACAAAATTTTGCTCGAAAACGTCGGATATTCTTGGAACTTTTCAACTGCCCATACAATGAAGCGAGGTCACTTAGGAAGGTCGAGCTACTTCAGTCTGTGCAAGAGTTATATTTCGTAAAATGCGCCAAGTAGTTCCATACGTCAATCCAAATTACTGCGAACGGGGTCAATTCGACTCTCCATGATCTTCGTGTATACTCTCAGCTTCGGCCGCTATATTTTCTTCACTGCGTGGTGGACGTGGTCTATTCAGTTGAATATTATCTAAAGCCTGATTATTTCAAACCAAAACTTGAGCGAAGCTCATTCTTTACAGAGCGTGAAATTTCGTAATAAAATTGAACGATTTGTAAACGTTGTTCCATGGTGAAACGCCAAACAATACTGAACAAAAATCACATGACAGCGTGACACGACTAACTAAAGCTATTGGAAAAATTATCTCTACTTGGATCACCCGTTAAATACCATGATCACAATTAAAAAAATTTCGATGGGAATTCATACGATCCCATGGATTCACCAAATTTCGAGGAAAATGAAGAAAGTGAAAACGAGATTGAATTAAATTAAAATAAAAAGAAAAAAATTTAAAATAATATGAATTCAATAAGACCTTAAACTAACATTGCTAACATTTTCTTTGTGTCTATTAGCATTTGACGGCCTTTGGCTGAAGCTGCAAAAAATTAACCAATACCTATGTGAACTGACGACTTTCATTTCCGATCTATATAATTATCCCTGGGCCGAAGCAATACTGAATTTGTCATACTCAGTATTCTTAAGAGAATGACCCTGAACCAAACAAACACCTGCTTCACCTTACAACGTACGCGCTCCTAAACAACAGCGCTAGTTGGACATTGTTTGAGTATGGTGAATGCTCGTAAGTTAAGTTCAAAAGTAGTGCCACATATCAAATTAAAGGTATTTTTATACGCTTTTCAGTTAATATTGATAAGTTTGTAGTTCCCCACATAACATTTTAAGAAAAACAGAAATAAAACTCTCCCTTCGCTTCACCCCATATCTGTGAAATAAATTTCCTCAAGGTCATTAAAATCAGGAAAAAGGTGCAGACCACGACCTTTCTTCATTTTCTTTTACCTCAACGGTCAGGATTCTGCACTTATGCCAAAATATGTTTGACAAGTGTTCGCTGAAACTATTTAATATTTTGAATTAAACGCATTAAAAACTTTTGTTTCCTCCGTATTTCACTTCCGGTTTGCTCTAATGTTTTTCGCGAGCTGGCAGCACTTTTATTATTTTGACCAAGGAAACACAGCTTTTGTGTGTTTTGTTTTGATGAATATTTCGAGTTCACAGCTGATTTGCTCTGCTAAGTAAAAAAAGTTATTTTCATTGCAAATATTGTAATTACTAAACTAGGAAAGTTCCACAAATAAAATGAAGAAAAATCCGACATTTTTGCAACGCAATTCGGTTGCAATTGTTGTAATTCCATCGCTTATTGGAATGCATTACGCATGGAGCTTAATGCAAAAAAATCGCACATTGGTTTCCGCTGATGAAGAAATAGATCTCCCAGTAGTGACGGTAAACTTGGAAATTTAAGATATATAAGGAATTATTGTTATCTAACTTTTGTTTGTGTATTTATCAGTTTGCAAAATATTGTTGGAATCGGTTGCAAGGTTTAACTGGTAGCGAGCAAGATATTCACGTAACAGTCACGCCGGCGAAACCAACAGATGCTGCTAAATAAAAAATATCCTTAATCTTGTGGAATTAAAGTAAAACTAACATGTTATATATGTACATACATACATTTTTTACCTTCCTCCACTAACTTTGTGAATATTATATTATAATAATTTGTCCTAATCGTAATGGAAAAAACGAATTGATATATATTGATAGAATATTTATTCAATATACTCTAGTTGCACTTATCTTAAAACTTAAAAACGAATTATATGTTTGTATACATATGTATGTATGTATACTTGAGATTAATTATTGGATTAGTACATCATTATTTCCACTAGATTGGTAATCAAATTTCATTATGAATAATTGCGTAACGTCTACGCTTAGCAAATTTTACCATAAATTTTTTCTTTATGAAACAAACTTATAACAAGATTTAAACTTAATCTGGTAACTCCTCAATTTCTTTAATTGAAAAGGAGATAATCTATACAAATTATAATAATCCATTTCTCATTGTGCCAATGTCGAATTGACGCTGAGATTGTCCAGTTGACCATTGAAGAGGACGTCGCTTATAAGCTTTTCAGCTATAATGCGTTGTGTTGGGTTCATAACTCGTAGCTTTGACGCTACATTTATACCGATTGCATCATATTCGTCATCCTGGCGATGAGTTGCAGTGGTGGTGTATGAATTTCCAAATAACGGTTGCAGGTGTTCTCGTGCTATTTGTATAGTTGGTACTTGCTGGTGTAGTTGTGTGATTTGTGGTGGAACGGCCTGAGATTGTTGATGTTGGTGCTGTTGCTGAAGCATCTGCTGCTGATGTTGTTCCAAGGAACTAACAGCCTGTTGATCAATGCTGTTATAATACAATTTTTTAAAGAAAATTTCAAAACAAAAACCTGTTGTATTTCGCGCTGCGAATTTGTATCCAAAGACGTTATTTCCAATACTTTGACTTCAGTTGCATGTTGGGGTTGCGTTGTGGTTGTCGTATGTTGGAGATGTTGTTCGGTGTTATGTTGCTGTTGCTGCAATTCATTCGGATGCTCATGTTGATGTGAAACTTGATGATGATGTGGGTGTTGATGTTGATGCTGAAGTTGTTCTTCATCCTTCACAATTACACACTCACCAGATGAAACAGTTACAGTCTTAATTTCAGCCGGTTGATTATGATTGGTACTTTCTGCTGGTGTCACTGCTTCAACTTCAGCTGATTGTTCTTCCTGGAATTCCATAGAATCCTCTACGTCAAAATGAAGAGCTAATGAACGTTTTTGTGTTTTAGCATCACGCAACCCTACAAGGCGTTTTGGATTCTGCTCGGCGATGAAAAGTAGCTTGTCGTAATACCATAACCGCGTTTCATAATTACTCTTTGCATTAAATTTACGAAACTCTCGTCGAAAAGCCGAGCGTAAAGAATTTATTTTGCGCACCACCATAGCACGGTCGGGATTCGGTTCAACTTCTTTTAGTTTTTCTACGAGTCGGTCATAAGCCTTATTGCGAACGCTATGGAAATTAAACAGAATTAAAGTAAGTAATACAATAAAATTTAATCTATATAAATAGACCATACATACCTGTGGTTACTGTAGTCTGGATGCTTTGGATGCCATAAGCATTCCTCCTGTTGATAAAGTTCGATGAACTCTCCAAGCCAAAGTCGAGAATATGACCGTAGATCACAATTAATTGGACTTAAACCCGCCGACATTATAGTACAAGTATACTGTTAAAGAAAAAAATGAAATATGTGATTAATGGGTTTTGGGTTATTATTCTGGCATGTTTTTAGATTTATTTTTAAGAAAATTTTTTGCTTTTTTTACAGGAAACGTTTCAAATTCTTGGGAAGATTTATAGCACAACTTTATGTGCTATTCTAGATTTCATTTTTTTATATTACTAAAATCAAAACATTGGCGGTTCTTGTTTATATAATTATTATTTAGGACTTAATTAGGTTTATTTTCACTTTGCCCCACTTCCAAGTTCTCTTCTTCACCCTTTCTTCGAGCACGTCGTACGAACAAGCTCGCAATCGTATGTTGCGAGTTCTTAAAAAAAGAATATATAATGACAAACAAATTTAGATATTATTTTATTTTAACAAAATTTGTTATTTGATTTCACTGCATAGCTTATCATTGTTTTATGAGCGCGGAAAACTCATTAAAATGAAAAAAAATTAGAGTTGATAAAATTTACTTATTCCGCTTCGGTACCAGTTCGCAAAGCTCTGCTTCAGTCACGAATGAAAATCGAAAAATGTAATTGGCTCAAATATTACTGCAACTTTCAGAATATATAATATTTAATTATTTTTCGCGAACATTTGTTTTTAGCTAAACTCTGGTTTTCGACTTTTGTTTATTACAAACTATAAAAGTTGTAGATGAATATTTTGTCTTGGTTGGCAATCGACTCGAACCGTCCAACATAGACAACGAACAAAACTCGGCAACCGACCAACCATTTTGAGCGCTTAACCTGTCATCATTCAGTCGTACGCTTTCCACTCGACAATTATCATCTAGTTAGAAAGAGACAACCCTATTATGTCGAAGAAAGATCGTCATAAAGAAACTGGCTAATGAAATTCGACAAAACAAATTTATGAAATCATCTAAGCAAAACAAAAACAAAGGTTAAATGTCAAAGCCCAAAATTTGTTTACAAGTTTTTTGTTATTCAAAAAGAAATCATTCTTTAAAGGAAAAAAGTCTTGCCAAAAATAGAGAAAATCGATTCGGCGGTTAAAGTGCGACACTTATAAATATATATTCAAGTAGTGATGGTAATATGAAGAACTGATGATATATGTATGAAAAAATAGCTATGTAACTTCTAATTAGTTTTAGATTGCAAATGATATTCGCACAACAGACCAGTCAGTGAAATTAACAATGCAAATGCAGATAATTTGATACCACACGCTATATACGAACCAGCAGCGGTGCATCTCTTAGCAAAGCGTTCGCTGAAGGGTTAACAAGTAGTCTTCGGAAACGTATGACTCCTCTTCCCATAACTTAGTCCAACAGCGGACCTCGCTCCGAAGAAGGTGACGAGCAAAGAAAGAAAAAGGCACTAGCCGGGTAGAAATTTCAGTCGGAAGTTTGGAAAGGAAAGTAAGGCAGCAACAAGTCGTCACTTTTCGGTATTTTTTTGTTTTTCCTTTAGGAAGTTAAAAAGAGTACTGAGAATAAGTTAAAGTTCTCTGATTAAGTAATTAGCCTATTATCGTATTTGCATAACATATATATATATATATATGCATATATGTGGATATAAACCCATTTATTTATCTGCCCAAAATACATATACAAAATCTTGAAATATTACTAATATATATTCATATTAACTTAACAAAATATGAAATCGTGTTTATTTCCTTAAAAATTGTCCCAGTAAGAGCTTATATTATAACAGCGGGAATTTATATACACACGCATGTACATAGCAGAGTTCATTGGTGAATTAATTAATATTAGTTATTGTTTAAATATCTAAAAATCTAAAGTTTTAAACGAATTCTTGTAAAGCTAATAATTTTACACATCCTTTTATATAAAAATAAACTTAAATATAATGACCATAACGATTGTACAAATATATACAAAATTTACATATGTATGTTTTAAATTGTAATATATTATAATAGTTTATTAAACATTTTAGATGAAAAAAGAGATATCTCAATTAATTATAATTTTTTTTTACGATTATATTTCGAATTCCATTTTTCATTGTGCCAATGTCGAATTGACGCTGAGATTGTCCAGTTGACCATTGAAGAGGACGTCGCTTATAAGTTTTTCAGCTATAATGCGTTGTGTTGGGTTCATAACTCGTAGCTTTGATGCTACATTTATACCGATTGCGTCATATTCGTCATCTTGGCGATGAGTTGCAGTGGTGGTATATGAATTTCCAAATAACGGCTGCAGGTGCTCTCGTGCTATTTGTATAGTTGGTACTTGCTGGTGTAGTTGTGTGATTTGTGGTGGAACGGCCTGAGATTGTTGATGTTGGTGCTGTTGCTGAAGTTGATGCTGCATCTGCTGCTGATGTTGTTCCAAGGAACTAACAGCCTGTTGATCAATGCTGTTATAATACGATTTTATTAAAAAAAAATTCAAAACAAAAACCTGTTGTATTTCGCGCTGTCCAAAGACGTTATTTCCAATACTTTGACTTCAGTTGCATGTTGGGGTTGCGTTGTGGTTGTCGTATGTTGGAGATGTTGTTCGGTGTTATGTTGATGTTGCTGCAATTCATTCGGATGTTGATGTTGATGAGTAACTTGATGATGGTGTGGGTGTTGATGTTGATGCTGAAGTTGTTCTTCATCCTTCACAATTACACACTCACCAGATGAAACAGTTACAGTCTTAACTTCAGTGGGTTGACTTTCCGATGTTGTCACTGTGTCTCCTTCAGCAGATTGTTCTTCCTGGAACTCCATAGAATCTTCCACATCAAAAGGAATAGCCAAAGAGCGCTTTTGTGTCTTGGCATTACGCAAAGCTGCAAGTCGCTTTGGATTTTGTTCGGCGATAAAAAGTAGTTTGTTGTAATACCATAACCGCGTTTCATAATTATCCTTTGAATTGAATTTACGAAACTCGCGCCGGAATGCGGAGCGTAACGAATTTATTTTGCGTACCACCATAGCACGATCGGGGCTTGGTTCAACTTCTTTTAGTTTTTCTACGAGTCGATCATAGGCTTTATTGCGCAAACTGTCGAGTAAATGGATTTGTGTAAAGAAGTTTTAATATGTGTAACTCAAAATCAATTTAAATAAATTATTTTTAGTGCACATACCTATGGTTACTGTAGTCTGGATGCTCTGGGTGCCATAGACATTCTTCTTGTTGATAAAGTTCAATGAACTCTCCAAGCCAAAGTCGTGAGTATGACCGTAGATCACAGTTAATTGCACTTAATCCCGCAGACATTGTATTATGAATCTACTGCCGGCGAAAGAAGAAAAATTGTGATCAATGAATTGTTAGACTGATAATTTTGTTAGTATCTTGCAGTAGAATATTTGCCACCGAATTTTTGACCAGTCCTATTAATTTTCCGAAAAAGGCTAGGTAAGAAGTTGTATGGTTTATTTCCCAAAAGTAAATTCAACAACAAACGCAGTTGTTCAAATCTTATTTATAAGCTCTTCGGATAACATGTTAGCACTGCCTTAGTGGATTCTATTTATATATTCAAGCACGGAGGAAGCTCGTAACAATGAATCTCTTAATGATTACTACAACGCATATCGACAATTTTTTTTTATTGTTTGTAATAAATATTCAGGATTCAAATTTTCGAGTATTTTACTCTTCCTTCGAGCACGTCGTACGAACACGCTCGCACAGATATCTTATAAGAACTCATAACTTATGGTTTCTTTGCTTAAATTTAGGAATCACAGAATTCAATAAACATTTTTTTTATATAAGAACAAAAAAAAACTTAACATTTGTTAATATATTTCACTATTTTATCAATTTATAAATTTTAACTTGCAAAACCTCATGTAATAAAGTAAAAATGTTGGTGGATGAGGTTCACCTTTTCCGTTTTCCTAGCAGTTCCCCTGCTCTGTTACATTCACAAATAATACGCAAATATGGTAAATATCACAAGCAAGAGCACAGCCTTCTGAGCAAGTAGAAATTAGTTAATGCTTTTGAATATATTTCCTAGTGGCATAAACTTTTGTCTTCAGACGCGGTTCTTGTTTATTGAAAATCATAAACAGTTGTAAATGAATTTTTGTGCTGGTTGGTAAGCGACTCGAACATAAACAACGAACAAAATACGACACGCCAGAACACGCGAAGCAACAAAGCAGATAGCTATTCCTTTCCTTGGAATTTGTTAAAAAGAGAGAAACGCATTTTCGAATAGAAGTTCATAGAAAACAGAAAAGCCGATAAATTTATAGAAAGTAAAATCAGAGAAAATGTACAAAATAATCTAGGCAAAACAAAAACAAAAGTGAAATGTCAGAACACAGAAATTGTTCAGAAGTTTCGTAATTTTTTGTATTAAAAAGAATTTGCATCTAGCGAATCATTTTAGTTCGGTGAATGATAAAGTCAAGTCAAGTTCTTATGAGAGAATAATAAACTGCGACGTAGTGAATTGCGAATTATTAAGTGAATTTTCATATATCAGAGTTTGAAAACGTGAAAAATAAGTGAAAAATCCAGAAAGCCAACACATATGCATACAACTCTACATACAAATTATACATAAGTGAATTTCAGTGGTGTAGAAATTTCTCTAAATACAAAGAGCTTTTAACATCAGAGCAGAAACAAGAAAAATTTAAAACAAAGAAACTAAGAAAAAAAATTATTTGTATTAATTTACTTGTTAATAAGTCTTAGAAGTGTGTATAAGCAACAAATCGATGATTGGAGCGTTAAGCTCGTCTGGAGCTGAAAATATTAGCAGCCGTTGCGGGATACTAGGAACTAGCGTAAACTGTCCAAACACCCACCTTGTAGGAGGCAACGTATTTACAAAGGTGTTCATCATCATTGTATGAGGAGTGGTAAGCATTATTGCTAAAACAGAATGTTTCAAACAAAATCTTATACTGCTATTATATAATTAATTGAAGCGCACATATGTAACTACATTTATATGTATGTATAAAGAATTCACTAATTTTTATATACATGCATACATGGATATATATATATATATATGTACATATACGTATATCTACTATATCACATACGAAAAACATACGTGTTTCGTACACTTATTGTGGAGCAAGGGAACTACAGTCTTTCATATACAAATGTGGGTAGTATACACATATTTTTGATGTTTTTTTTTTAAGAGAGATGGAGCTAATGTTTTTAAAGAAATAAATATGTACATGTGTAAATATACCTACTGAACAAAAATATTAAATAATAATAAAAATAATTATCCAATTCTCATTGGCGAAAATGTACGGTGTGCAGATAAAGCTCTTTAAATTTTTGATAACAATTAATTTAAAAAAGGTAACATATTACAGTTGTGTTCGTGACAATAGTATTACTTCTTCAAGGTCTACAATTATTTATGTAGCTTAAAAATTAACACTTAACAAGAGTCCACCACAAACGACAAATTTCAGTCATTCTGTCCATTCGGAAATTCAAAAGAACTCAACTGATGTGTCAAAATATCAGCTGTTTTTTGTTTACAAAAGAAAATTAAAGTGTCATTAAAAAAATTCAATTATTTGTAAACTTCCGGCAGCAATAGCTGAGAGTGGAGAAGTACCTACTACCAATCGAGATTAAAGCACCTAATTAAAAAGCCATACCCAGAATAAATTGTAGATCTCTCCATTTATTGGAAAAACATTAAGACACACAAAACAAATTGAAAAGGGAGTTCGTTCGAAAATCGCTCTAGTACAAAAAAAGCCGTAAATTGTGAAAATGTCGGAAGTTTTTAAATATCGACATATGTATATATGAATGATGGTATTTTTGTATAAATTTATATCTATAACCAAGTAAAAGTGCTTTTATCATCTTTATTCGAAGAAAATTGGTGATAATACAGATAATAAAAAAGCGACAAGCCTATACGACATGTTCTACGTTAAAAAATCAACCAACTTATTGTGATAAGAATTTCTATTTTTATGATCAATTAAAATCACATTTTCCGGAAAATTCTTGATCGTTATATTTTTATAAATATGGTAAATAGTATGTTTGAGCGCCATATAATTGACAGATTAATTTCACAGCAAGCTCAAATATCACA